TGTCCCCCGTGTGATCGCTTTCCTTGAGACAGCTCACCATAGAAGAGCTGTTTAGGGATGCGATGATCTGGCATCCTTACAACATGGCCCGCCCAACGCATCTGGGCTTTCATCAACAGAGTGTAAACTGATGATAGACCTGCTCTGGAGAGGACATCTGTGTCTGGTATCTTATCCTGCCACCGGATCCTCAGAATTCTACGAAGGCAAGTCATGTGGAAGTAGTTCAGTTGCCTAACGTGCCTCCTGTACACTGTCCAAGTCTCACTAGCATACAATAGGGTAGTTAGCACTGCTGCCTGGTAAACTTTAAGCTTGGTAGCAAGACTTATTCCACGGCGGTCCCACACGTTAGTCCGCAATCTGCCAAATGCAGAACTGGCCTTGGCAATTCTACAGTTGACCTCGATGTCAATTGTCACTGCATGGGAGAGGGTACTACCAAGATACGTAAATTGGTCCACTGCTTGCAGCTTTTGTCCCTTTACTGTGATGGTAGGCTCTTGATATTGGGCTTTTGGAGCTGGCTGGTACATCACTTCAGTTTTCTTCGTGTTGATGAAGAGGCCAAAGCTGTCACAAGCGGCTGCGAATTTGTCCATGCTGGCTTGCATTTCCTGCTCCAATCCTGCATTAAGGGCACAATCATCAGCAAAAAGGAGATCTCGTAGTACAGTCTCCTTTACCTTGGTGACAGCCTGAAGTCTTCGCAGGTTGAACAATTTCCCATCGGTTCTGTACCTCAGATTAACTCCCACTGAGCTGTTCTGAAAGGCGTCTGACAGCGTGGCTGAGAACATCATGCTGAACAGGGTTGATGCTAGCACGCAGCCTTGCTTAATGCCATTAGTAACAGGGAAGGCCTCTGAGGCTCCACCGTTACTCAGAATACGAGCCGCCATGCCATGATGGAACTGTCGTACCATCAGAATAAACCTGTCAGGGCACCCAAACTTTGACATAATGCGCCATAGTCCTGCATCTTGCGGAGCTTGCTCTGTACAACCCTGCGAGTGTTTATAAAAGCATTTTTCTTTGCAGTTGACAACGGGTCGTTCTGATGAGCGCGGTAGAGATGGTGTTTTTCGGCAAGCAAGGCCTTAATCTCTTCATCATTTTCATCAAACCAGTCCTGCTGCTTCTTATATGATATGCTCAATAGGTCATTGCTGGATGACTCAATAGAAGATACATTCATATACATGTAGCCTTTGTAACTGATTGTAATATTCATACATACATCGGTGTAATCTATCACTACATGCAATTATGGAATGGTTCACATACTTTTATATTTTGATTATAGAACCTGTGTTGGCTGCCAATTGCCATAAAACTACTCTTTTGCTTCATCTGAATGGTTCATTTACCCATGCAGTCATAAATGGATGATCATGTGAATGGCATCAGCACTATCTGTGGCTCTTATTCATCCAGTCCAATCATTGTTTCTGAATAACATATACAGCCTCTCAAACTTTCCACAGCTTTTGTGAAAATTTCTACCAACCCATAATTTTTAATGTAACGAAAGGGAAAATAAAAGGGGACAATGATGTTGTGTTTAATTAATTGAATTAAGAGTTATTAAATTTATATGTTTTATTTTCCTATTTTTTTAAACCTCTTGCTATATTGTAAGATGCCTTGACATACCTTTGGTCAAAACAGATTGCATCCTGACTATCTCAAGGTTGACTCAGCCTTCCATCCTTCCAAGGTCGGTAAAATGAGGACCCAGATTGTTGGGAGCAATATACTCTTGTAAACCACTTAGAGAGGTTGTAAAGCACTGTGAAGCGGTATATAAGTCTAAGTGTTGTTACTTTTAAGGGATAATTCATTGCTGCTGTGTTCTATCTTGGGACCTGATTTATAATGCAAAATAAGTATCTTCTTCAATTACAGTTTTTTTAAGAGATAATGAAGGGTATAATAGACACAAAAATCTACTTGTGTTTCCAAAATGTGACTTACTAAATGAAGTTTTATCATTTTGCTTGCAGACATTAAAGGCATAGTTTACAAGCACATATTTTCAAATGCCATTTCTGATTCCTTTCTAGAATGGCTTGTGATTAAAACTATAATGTAATCCGCATTTGATATTTGGAGTTGCTGACTTTAGAAGCTTTGACAGAGTTGAGTTGTCAGTGGAACAATCAACACACTCAGTTTTGGTACAGTATTTGTAATAGAGTCAGCATTTGAGTAGAGTATCAAGACACAAGTTTGCATGATGTAAATATAATATGTATCTGTGGAAATTAATTCCCGTATTGTATGTTTTTTCCTTGTTTGAATTAATCAGAATCTTCCGCCTGCTTCTTACATAATTTTTAAATGGTTGGTTGGGCATATATTGTCAACCGTAATTCATTTAGTCCTTATTTTAGTATCTCTTGCCATATTCATTAAATAATGGTCCTCAGGGTATAAAAGTGCCATACTGAAGATTCTAATTTTGCATTGTTTTGATTCATAATGATTATCAAAAATAAAATAGACAGTCCCTTAAATAAATACCCCTTGCTTAAGCTTCAGTAGTTATGATTAAAGACCACAGAAAAAGCATGGAGGATGGAATGAAGTTGAAGGATTTTTTTTTATCATTGCAGAGACTGAATTATTTTTGCAACTGAAATGAAATCAATAAGGATTGTTCCATTTCATCTGTTCAGCGAAGAGCTTATCTGGGCTGATCTCCCTTGATTGGGATTTCACTACAGTATATCATATTACCTTGAACTCTTAATAATAATGTTTGTGAACTGAAGTAAAATGTCTCCTATTGCTTGAGCTAAAAAAAGACATTTTCCCCTCATTTCTCCAAATAATCAGAATTGCAATTGCTTTAGAGAAGAATCTGATAACAATTTAGACTCTGCAGACATAAGAACTCTTTTCCATTTCAGTCCTTTTTTTTCTAGCTTGCACTCAAACTTCAAATCTTACAGAAAGATTACAGATCTATATTTTTCTCTGTGACAGTAACATAAAGGTGTTGGTGCACATAGATCTTAAAAGGTGGAGGAAACATGGGATATGTTTTTAAAATACTATATATTTTCAAGTAAAAATCATTAAATAGCTTAACAGCTTAACAGGTTTGATAATAAGATGGACTATTCTTTCATGACTTGGCTAACACTGATGGCTTTTCAATGATTCAGATATGCTGAAAATAAGGGAGTAAATTAAAATTGGCATGGAAAGGAAAAACATATATACATGTCATGAGAAAAACCACTGAACAAAAATGCATAGGTAGGCAAATACAACTCTGTATAAATATATATATATATATAGAAAATGGTTTAGAAGTAAATGTATATCTGATCATCAACCATCATCTAAAGGTAAAAGTAAAGGTTTCCCCTGTCCAGTTGTTTCCTACTCTGGGTGGTGGTGCTCATCTCCGTTTCTTAGCTGAGGCAGCCAGCATTATCTGAAAACATGGTCATGTGTCTAGCATGACTATAAACTGTACACGGAATATTTTACCTTCCCAATGAAGTGATACCTCTTTATCTATTCGCATTTATATGCTTTAGAACTGCTAGGGGGGCAGAAGCTGGGGCAACTAACGGGAACTCACTTTGTTGTGCTGCACTCGGGTCTCAAATCTGGGCTATCAGCTTTCCAGCTGACAAGCTAAGTGTCTTTAACTCCCTAGCCCGGGGGTAGGCAACCTTGGCTCTTTTATGATTCGTGGACTTCAACTCCCAGAATTCCTGAGCCAGCCATGCTGAGGGGAAAGGGAGAGTTTCCAAGCTGAGCCATGCTGGCTCAGGAATTCTGGGAGTTGAAGTCCACAAGTCATAAAAGAGCCAAGGTTGCCTACCCCTGCCCTAACCACTGCGCCCTCTAATCATCATCTGATCTCAAGTTTTCAATAATTCCCTTTGCTGCTATGGCTGCTGTTTTGGGCCACAACTCAAAAGTCTTCAGGACTACAAAGGGATAGGTGAGGTGGAAAGGGCCCAGTCTCTTCTGTTGATGGGCCAAAGATTAGGATAAAAGACAGGATTCTACCAACAGTAATGTGTGTCATTCACAAGGCTATGAAGTTCCCATTTATGTCCCAAAAAATAAGTAGGACTCTGACGCTATAAATGTTCTGTTCAAAGGCAGAATTGTCTATACCTTTTGGAAATGCTTTCCAGTCCTCCATTTTAGATTAGCAACTTTCTTGTTCTAAGGTACGGGTATCAAACTCGCCGCATTACGTGACGTGTTGCAACGTATCACGACTTTTTCCTCATTGCTGGGGTGGGTGCGGCCTCCGCATGGTGCAACTGGCCTGTGGGCTGGCAGTTTGACACCCCAGTCCTAAGGGCTAAACAAAAGAAATCTGCGATCCTTCACCAACACTCAGAGTGGATTTGTTTGTGACATAGTTCAGTTTGATTAGAGTGGTTTTGGGTGATTTCAAGATTATCTCTCTTACCTTAAACTGCTGTCTGATATCTGTGAAAATGTGTTTTGTGGTGTTATATTAACAATGGCACATTAACAAATAAACTACAGGTAATCCTCGACTTATAACCATTCAGTTAATGACTGTTTGAAGTTACAACAGCACTGAAAAAAGTGACTTAAGACCATTTTTCACTCTTACAACCATTACAGCATTTCCCCATGGTCACATGATCAAAATTCAGACCCTGACTCATATTTACGAGACTTGGGATAGATTATGGGATCATGTGATCATCTTTTGTGACCCTCGGACAAGCAAAGTCAATGGGGAAGCCAGACTCACTTAACAACTGTGTTACTAACTTAACAACTGCAGTGATTCACTTAACAACTGTGGCAAGAAAGGTTGTAAAATGGGACAAAGCTCACTTAACAACTACCTTGCTTAGCAATGGAAATTGCTCAATTATTACCTGTAATGTCTCTCAAGTTAAGTCTTTTAACTTAAATTTGTGTCATAGAGATAGTAATATAATAGCTTCAGCTGAGGTAAATTGCTACTTTTTCATTTTTTTCAGGTTGATACCCATATCCATGCTGCTGCTTGCATGAATCAGAAACATCTGCTGAGGTTCATTAAGCATACTTATCAAACTGAACCCAACAGGATAGTTGGGGAAAGAAAAGACAAGAAGCTGACTTTGAAGCAGGTGTTTGAAAGCCTACACATGGATCCCTATGACTTCACTGTAGACTCACTAGATGTCCATGCAGTAAGTTCATTTTAAGTAAAGATCACATCAGAATAATTAGCAAGGCTTTCGTAAATTGCCCAGCCATGGAAAGAGAAAGAGACTTTTGGTTGACAAACTCATATGCTTTTTGTGCCTTTACTGTGCTAGCTGTTAACAGTCTAAATTCAAAAGTTACATTTTTGTATGTTCATATTTTATATTGTATATTATGAATATGTGAGTTACTAAAAGTAATATCCAGCGATAAATAATATAAATGTAATAATATAACAAATCTACTTTTTAACCTCTACTTTTCTTAGGATCGCCAGACATTTCACCGGTTTGATAAATTTAACTCCAAATATAACCCAGTTGGTGCAAGTGAGTTGAGGGACTTGTACTTGAAAACAGAAAACTACCTTGGTGGTGAATATTTTGCTCGGATGGTGAAGGTAAACAGCTTTTCAGCCATCATGCCTTAGCTTTAGTGTCTTCCAACTTAATGTTGATGTTCTGTCCCAGCCTACGTGAGTCTTCGTTAAGCTCACAAGGAGAAACCTCTCTTCCAACAAGCAGGCTGGAACCGCAGGGAAAAACCAATCCCCTTTTATTATTTACAGACCTGAGTAAATGTCCAAGGCAAACAAAACACAGTTCACTGAAACTTGATTCCTTAACACAAATGGTTGCCTTCAGCAACCAACATCTCTCACACCTTCCCTTTTATTATACAGCCAAGGCGTGGCTTCCTAATGCTTTCTCCTTTGTCTTTGGAGCCGCTCCATTGCATTCCTCTGTCCGACTCTCTCTTTGCTTGCCGGCGTTTACATGCATCCTGCATATCTTCCAGCTGTGAGTCCTCACTGTCCAACTCAGACTCCTAGCACAGCTGTGTCTCAATCTGAGCGCGAGTAGAGGGGCCAGGCTCCTCGTCAGACTGTAAGTCTTGGAGTTCCTCAGAGCCTTCCTCTGAACTCTAATGTCTCTCCAGGCCCCTCCTCCTCCTCCTCCTCTGATTCCTTTGATTCAGCTGCCGGGTCAAGGAAGTACAACAGTTGATTCTTGGTGACTGCCTGGACACATGTCTGAAGTTTTCTTTGCAAGTTTTTCAGAAGTGACTTTCCATTGCTTGCTTTCTAGGGGTGAGAGAGCCTTTATTTGTTTGTTTGTGTATTTATTTATTCATTTATTCATTCTGGTCCAAAGTCATCAAGTAATCTAGTTAGAATGGGAGTTCTTATGTATGCCAAATAAAATCAGGAAAAGTTACTCATGCTCTGAAAGGTTTTAGGCCATTCGGTTACAACGGACAGAAAACTCTGTAGGGGCATGTCATCATGTAGCCATTTTAAATAGGTTACTAACAACCAAAGATTTACAAAACTAAACAAGAATTCGATTTATGTAGATATTTGTTTTTCTGAAGACCCTTGTATTCCTTTTTTCTCAACCTAATGCCTTCATTAGATTTTCTTAACTTACTAAGCTTCCTGACTCTTTCCCAACTTTTCAGCTTATTTAATTGATTTGCCTGTGTAAAACGTCTCTTGTGGTTGCCAGTGAGCTTCTGGATGCAGTTCAAGGTCTCAGTTATCACCCTTAAAACCTTTCATAGTTCAAAGTTTTGTGGATATCTCTTGAGATTGTCACTGAATTTTTCCAGGAAAAGGGGGCTCACTTAAGATCGTACCCCCTGATGGGATATCATCTGCAGGAACCCCATTTTTAAACTTTCTCTGTGATGGCTGTCCTACTCTGGAGCAGCCTACCTCTGGATATTCAAACTATCCCTTCTTTATAATATTTTCAAAGACCTGTAAAAGTGTATCTCTTTGGAAACACTTTGGACTTAAATGAATGAGGACCATCTACACCAAAGGTGTGGCATATCAGTTACTGTACATTTTTTAACTATTTTTTTTACTCTGCTATGCATTTGTTATTAACTGCTCAGAGTCTTAATAAGGAAGCAGTATATATATAAAAACCAGAATAATAATGCATCCTAGATACAGTTCCATTGTTATAAGGCTTTGAAGCCTTATCTAATTCTTTCATTAGCACTTTTTAAAGTTATTTTTTTTTTGAAGTTTTCTTTTCCAAAAGTTAAACCTTGTAAATATGCTGTGGGCTGATGTCTTGCATAGACCATTTACAGTATCTGCATATCATATCATAATATGAACTATTCTGACTGATGAATTTCTCATGTATTTTTCCATTGTTGTAGATAATAATGAAATGTTTTTAATTATGAAAATAAGCTTTTTAATCCAATTGTATCAATCTGTTAGATACCTCTGAGGATTTATTAATCTTAAATATTTTGATTTGAAAGAGAAATACAATTTAACATTAATATAAATTTTGCATGAAAAATATTTATATTATAAACCAACAAATACTTTATGTGTGCATAAATTAGGGATAATGTGCACGGGATTGGAATCGAAGGGCAGCCTTGACCTATTGTAAATATTTAAATAAAGAGAAATTATGTATACATATGTGCAATATATATGAATCATACATAAAATGTTTATAAAGTTTAAATAGTACACCATTTTACATTCCGGTATAAAAGCATAAGAAATGATTTGGAATATCTGATTAATCTGTTCCGTTCTTCAAAATTATTTTGATGTTAGTCTTTAGAGGTTAAGCCCATTTAAATCTCATTTTCAACAGTGAAAATGTGTGTGCCTTTTTCCTGTGAATTATGGATTCCCAAAATGCTTAATTGCATAAATTTGTGGACATTTTGAGTGTAGATAGAAGATAAAATTAGACATCCTGCCTCCATTAGGAAAACCAGACTGAATGTAATAGTAACTCCGTGAATGCTATTTCATTCACATAATTAGAAGCATATCTGATTAGCGTTAATTAACAAAGATGTTGCTAATTATGAGGATGACATGAAAAAAATGGAAGAGTGTGTGTAGAGTAAAGCAAAAATGGGATTTCATGTGTTTTATTATCTTAATTTGAATCCATATAGTTTTTGGATAATGGGTTTTGAATTTTATAACTCATTGTTGGTAGGCATTGCTGAGAGGGGGTGTCTTCCTACAATGCCTATTTCTTCATGTCATGGAGGCACCGCATCAACTGTGCCTGAAGAATAGGAATGTGATGTCCAAATTATTGCAGGAAAAAAGATTAGATCTAATCAATTACCCAAAGTGGTGGGGATTCCTCTTCACTGGATATTGCTGCTGTAGTCAAGTTCTTCAGGGTTCAAAGAATTGAACAGTGGCACCATCGTTGCCCAGAGTACGCCAAGTTGTGGGCTCCTTTCATATTCCTGTTAAATTATCCACTGAAGTAATACCCATTTATTTACTCACAGTCACTTGATTTTGAACTGCTGGGTTGGCAGGAGCTTCAGCCTGTGATGGGAGCTCACCCTGGCTCACAGCAGCTACCGGGTCTCGAACGTCAGCCTGCTGATCGTCAGCTCAGTGCCCTAACCCAAGGCTTTTCAACCAGTGGTACGGGTACCAACTGTGGTACACTGGCACCTGGCAGGTGGTATGTGACCATCCTAGAAAAGTGGTAGTGGGGCAGGGGAATGAGCTGAACCGGTGGCAGCACTGCACAAGCCTGAGTGAGAGATGGCTGGAGCTGCAGGGCTCTCAGGGCTCAGTGGAAGTGCCAGAGCCAGGCTCCGGCTGGAGCTCGGCACTGATCCTGGCGCTTCTGCTGAGCCCAGAAGAAGCGCTGATCAGCTGGAACGTTGCAGCATCTCCAGGGTCTAGTGATTTACATTCAGATGCTTGGCAACTGATTCATATTTATGACAGTCACAGTGTCCCAGGATCATGTGAAGTGACCAAAACCTGCTGCAACCACCCAGCAGACAGGGGAAATAAAAACCAAACACCCCCCACCCCATCCCCGCTGCCAATCCTCAACAGAAATGCTCACAACAATGAAAATCTCGGACAGGAGGAAGAGCGCCGCCGGGTGGGCAGGCAGGTGTCTTGCTCGGCTGTGGCTTGGGGGGCACTTTTTTCAGTGTCTTTGTAACTTCAAACAGTCACTAAGCGAACTGTTGTAAGTCAAGGACTACCTGTACTTCATCACTTTTTTCCTTTTTTGGGGGGTGTCATCAAGTTTTTGACACCTTGCTAGGCAACTGGTGGTACTTGGATATTGCCATATCCTAAAAGTGGTACAATGGGTGAAAAGGTTGAAAAGCCCTGCCCTAATCTAATGAGCCACTGCTCTTCATTGGATGTATTCAAGGGAAAGTTGGATAGCCATTATTTTGGGAGAGATGCAGTCAAGTGACAGCAAATGATGAAAGTAGTATCATGCCATCCCAACACAATTCTGCCCTTTTTATACAAATATGATATTACAGTCACCTGTGAAAGGAATGGAGTTGTGTTACAATGGTGCAAGTCTGCTTTGGTCATTTTGATGAAAACACTGGATTTTGTGGATGCCCCTGGTACAAAATGCTTTAAATGGGACTCCTACATTAGGGTATGTGCATGTGTGGACTTGATAGCATCTTCCTATACTTAAGTGCTTTTGTTGATAAGGATTTTTGAATTATGCCATCTTGTTTAAAACCAAAGGATATATCGTACTGGACTAGATCATGATGTACTACATAATTAGATGTTTTAAAAGGTATCCAAACAAAAAAAAGATCCTGGATGATCTAATGGAAACTACTCAGTATAGTTTCGTGCACTGGTGCTTAATTTTATTGTTAATATTGATCATTGAATTTTGCAAGTCTCAAACATCTCAGTCTGTAGTTTCACACTTACAGATGGAATCAACTATTAATTTAGTTCATTACGTAGAGTATAGAACAATACAGAGCAGTTTCTGGATCTCCTTGTCACCATCTAGTGGTCATCTAGTAGTACAGATGGAATAATTCTTCATTCAGACATTCATGATTCGGGTGAATGTTAAGCAGGATACAAAATCTGTAACTAATAATATGGTCTATGTTCCTCTTCTCCCCCCCCCCCAATCGGATTTCAGTAAAACCCTGATATCCATCAGGTGAGTTCCTTACCTTTTCAAATTAGGTTTCTATGGTGGAGGGAATACTTGTGCCTTAATAAAGTTTAGAAATACATATATGAAGAGAGGAACAAATTTAAAGGCCTTTCCCATATTGCTCACATTTCTAAATTTCATGGTATTGCATCAGAAGACTGCTGAAGTGTTTCAAACACGGTGGTAAATATTATGTGGCAGGAAGTTCTATAACTTGCAGAATTAAAAACAATCCTAAGTGACATCATTAGGTCTATAAACCCTTGGGGAATTTGAGATGTGGAATATAAAATACACTGTGATTAATAGTCAGTAGGTGTATTTCTATGTTAGGCTCTGCATGTAAGACTTTTTGATAAAATATGTTTGCTCTAAGCAGAAAAGTAATAATGGCTTATTTTGAATAGGAAGTTGCCCGTGAACTAGAAGAAAGTAAATACCAGTACACAGAACCTCGGCTGTCTATTTATGGGCGTTCTGCAGATGAGTGGCAGAATTTGGCTAAGTGGTTCATAAGGCACAAAATTTATTCACCTCATATGCGCTGGATTATTCAGGTCCCAAGAATCTAGTAAGTAATGCATTATTGGAAACAGTTTCTCTTTTTTCCAGTTCTTTAACAGAGAATGAGGTTTAAAATACGGTTAAGTATGAGAAGTAAGAATTTCCCTTACAGCAATGAGGAAATTATTTTCCTCCCACAATTGTGGTTAAGAAAATAACCTTGCACCATGACCGTTACCAAACTATATTATGTGAGGCCATCTAGACAATTTGACAGCTTCAGTTAATTTACCTGTAAGAACCAAACATGTTGCTTTAAAAAGCTGTTGAGGACAATACTTTGGAAACCACAATGATTTGGGAGATAAAAAGACTAAAGAAATCTAGGCAGTGACATGGCATTGCTAAATAGGGTGGTACCAGGAAGTTTGTATTTTAGAAGAGTTGGTATGGCTTCCTTCCTCCTTCCCTTCCTTTCTGGTATGTTAAAACTAGGCCAATTAGCACAAAACTAGCAGCATCTGTGCAGGTTGCTTCCATAATTTGATGAGCTGATTTCTAATGAACATAAAAGAGAGACTTGAGAGCCACGGGCAGCTCCATCCTGCTATTTTCCACTAAAAATTGGCTTATCACTTAATGTTATAATAAATGTGTAAATGCAATCCATGTACACTGTTATAGTGCCATTTTACTTTAAATTTATAATTGTTTGAGTTTGTACACAGGAAGCAAAGACCTCTTCTTATATTTAAGTTGTCCTTGTTATTCAATTGCTTCCACAAATATTGCAAAAATGACACATGTGGGAGGTTTGAAGAACAAGCAGATTGATGCAATTTGGGGTTGCCAATATGATGCTCGAAGGACAAATGGCAACAGTGGCTCAAGTGGTTTTTTGCACTTACTACTGCCCTGCCCATAGTCCTTTACTGTCCTACTCATGGTCATTCAAGCCTTGATGACCTATTGTTTGGATTACTGCCATGCACCCCATATGGGCTTGTCCTTGAAGACCACTCAGAAGCTTTAGTTGGTCCAGAATGCAGTACTGTAATCTGGATAGTTATAAGAGTATTTGGGTTTTCCCATGCAATATCACTGTTTCACAAATTGCACTGGTTGCCAGCAGGCTTTAGGGTGCAATCCAAGGTTTTAGTTATTACATACAAATCCCTTCGTTGCACAGGAATTGGTTATATAAGAAGCCCCCTATCTCTGATGACTTCTATGTATCTGATACATCTCTCAGGTTGGGCGTGCTCCAAGTCCCATCACTTAAACAGTGTCACCTTAAGGAACCCAAGAAATGTGCTTTCTCTGTTGCTACATCTCCCCTATGAAAACCTTTTCCCCTGAGATTTGGATGGCCACACCCTGCGTACCGTTCAGAAGACTCTGAAGAATGGCTTTTCCATTCAGGCCCAGGGATAGGAGATTTTGGGCCTATCTTGATTGCTTCATTGATTGTTTCTTGTTTTTTTTTTGGTTGTTCTGAAACTGTCTCTGGCACAATATGTTTTATTCAATGTTTTTATTATTATTTGATGTTTTTAATTTGTATGATACTATGAGCTGTACTTAGATATAAATTGATCTAATAAATATGGCAAATAAATAGCCCTTGTAGCATTTTGCAGAAATGACCCCAAGACTTTGTTGAAGGGCTTTATTTGTATAGGGATGGGATTGATATGGGAAGTAACCTTTTACTGATTTTTCCCATTGTTTTAGATCAAAGATTACAGATGAGTAGCAATAACATAATAGTATTATATGTTATTAAATAATGTCATTTGAAAGGCAATATTCAGAGCATTTTCATACATAATTACATAATTTGAATATTTTTTTTTGTTATGTACATTAAAGAAATTGAACTATAGTTGCTTAGGAGGTTTTTTTGCAGCCAAAATTCAACTTAGGGACTTTTTGGACAAGAATACTTATTCCTAAAGTAGACCATATCCCAAGTAAGCACAATAAAAATATTTAAGTATTTTGTTTTATTTTTCCAGTGATATATTTAGGACAAAAAATATTTTGCCTAACTTTGGGAAAATGCTGGAAAACATATTCTTACCTCTGTTTGAAGCAACCATCAACCCCTTGGATCATAAAGAATTACATCTTTTTCTTAAATTTGTAAGTATTTGACTATTCTAGACTGCATGTATCTAGGATTAAAAAGTTTGGGCAGTAACTAAAAGCCAGACAGAGGAAAGCAGACTAAGTTTTTTAGTGAAAAATGCACTAGTCCATTGCATACAGCTTTGAAATAGAATTGTTAAAATAGAATTGTCTCATTCTAGTTTGCTGAGGTATATCATGGGACTGTGCAGTTAATTTAATCATTCCCATCTATTTCAGTTTGGATGGATAGATTATATAAGCTGGCTCTCCTTTTGAAGTAAAGGAGAATTTGGTTGAACATGAATTAATCCCAAAACGATTTCAAAATCTGGTATAAAAGAAGACAATTTCTAAGCTCAAATTATAAGGAGCTCAGTATCAACAAATGCAAAAGTGCTTTTCTAAACTGAGAAATAAAAATATGAATCTATAATAGGTATGATATTAAATCATTACTGACTAGAGTTAAAATTGGTGGCTAGACAGGTGAAAGAAACTCCATCTGGTTTCAGTATTTACAAAAAACAAACTCCTTGCATGATAAATTGGAATTATCATATTAATTGAGAATAATTAACTACTTAATATCAAACAGAATGGGAAATCTAAAGAAGGTGATGAGGAAGAATTATAATATTTTAAGTAATTTTTATGAAAAAAAGAAAATTACAAGATTTGGGGGAAAATATTTAGACAGTAAAATCTGTTCTATAAATACCTATTAATTCTACAAAATACAGTATGAATTGCTTTTTAATCAGGGCGTTTATTCTGCGTACAGGATTTAAATTTGGAAATATAGAACTAAAGGCTCCAAATATTTCATTCTGTATATGGTGGGGTTATAATAATTTTAATATCTCATTTAAGATATATCTTACACCCACACACTGTTTAATAGTCTTTGTAATGTAAGTTTAACTGTTGGCAGAAAGCTTTGGCAGAAAAGTTCCCATCTCATACTCCCAATTCTAAAGGAGGAAAGCTGAGATTAAGCAAGGGCAGCAGTTGTCTGGTAACCCCAATGACCCTGAAACAGGTTGCTAACGTCTTGCTGAGATATCAGAGCAAGTTGCAAGTCGAACCAGTTAACCCAGATGATGAACTAGCTAGTCCACTAGATGGGAGAGTAATTGCCACAAGCAGTGCTCCACTAGTCCTTCCAGCTTAAGTCCCTACAGGTTTTGCTGATGAGAAGGAAGTGCTAGGATGCCAAACACCTGCCTCTTTACTTGACAAGCATGATCAGACTCCTGGCAGATTTACTGCCATCTTCTCTCAGTAGTGAATTCTATATCTTTCTAAGACCAGGGGGGAAATTACTACTGACTGATCCCAATCAGGATTTATAATTGGTCTTTTGCTGCTGAATCTGTAAAATGGAGAATTATAATAACCTCATGATACCCCTGCAGTGTGAACAGGTGATACACCTACAATGGAATAAGTCAGGGATGTCAAATTGCCGGCCTGCGGGCTGGATGCATCATAGCGAAACTGCGCCCACCCCATTGCCGGCAATGGCAAAAAAGTCATGACATGTCACGTGGCATTTCAAGTTTGGAATAAGTGCTCTGTGAAACCATATATACTTGATTTTCAGTTGTGGCCAGAAATGAAAGGGACGTAACAGACCAATAAAAGGGAATATCAGGTGAAATATCACACACATGTATTCTGCAGTCAGTCCAGACACTTTCAATGTATTAGAATAGAATAGAGCTGGAAGGGATCTTGGAGGTCTTCTAGTCCAGTGCCTGCTCAAACAGGAGAACCTATACCATTTCAAACAAATGGTTGTCCAGTCTCTTCTTAAAAACTTCCAGTGTTGGAGTATTCACAACTTCTGGAGGCAGGTTCTTCCAATGATTAATTGTTCTGGTTAGATTAATTGTATTAATCTAATTCAGCTTGAGTATCAATCAAATGTTTGATAAATTACAAGAGAATAAGGGTAGAAAACTTAGATGCTACTTTTCTCCATCATTCCTGCCTCTGTACAAATATTTGTACCTAGATGGTACAAATTCAATCTGTGCAGCTGGGAGCCAGCAGAGCTCCATTTTACATGAAAGGTCTTTATATTGTAGTGGACCTAGTTAACTAAATGTACTTGAAAAGTGGGATATTTTGTAAGAAAATCTAATCTTTTGGAAAACAAGTATAGTATAACCTCAGGGATATTGGGATGTCCAGGAAAAATATTGCCCAGAAACGTAGGTTACAAGATTCATCATAATGATTCCTGAGAAAGATAACAGCCAGCTCTAGTAATCTTGAGTATCTCAGTAACATAGCAACACATGTATGTTTTTCTCATCCCACTGTTGATTCTCTGGTTCAATTGAAAGGATCAATGCCCAGCTCTTATTCTTAGGACTCATCTCTGTGTGTACTACATTAGAGAATTTTTGAGAAAGAAAATCAGACAATCCAGTGAAGACTGGAATGCGTTAAATCTGATTCACACAAGATTTTGGTTTTTGATCTTGCATTACTGTTAGGATTTTGACAATAATTTTATTTATTTTTTCTGTAAATGTTCCCACAGTCTTGGAAATGGACTGCCTTTACACTCAAATCTGTACATTCATTGGGAGCATGATATATAATTTTGATTGTCCCAGCATGCAAGTCTCATAGCCTATTTGAACCCCACAGCAGCACTCTCTAGGCCAGTGGTTCTCAACCTTTTTAATGCCGCGACCCCCAACCAGTCGTAAGTCGAGGACTACTCAACCAGTCGTAAGTCGAGGACTACTCAACTGATGCAGCACCGTTTGCAGAATGGGACTTTTGGCAGGCTCAGCAGGGCGGAGACAGCCTGGACAATTCCTATTGGCTTTTGAAAGCCAATAGAATTAGACTCTATTCAAGAGAGTCTATTCTATTGGCTTTCAAAGCCAATAGAATAAAAGGGAGTAGCACATCTAAGGAAAAAAATGGCGGACTGCGTTGTTTGGCGACCCCTGTGAAATAGTTGTTCGACCCCAAATGGGGTCCCAACCCACAGGTTGAGAACCACTGCTCTAGGCTGATATGTTTGGAGAATGGGAAGCAAGATCTTGACCTCTTGATTAATTTGGGAGTTCTTATTGTTGGAGCTCAGATTCCCACAAAACACCTTTACCAGTTTAGATTATCTGCCTGTTATTCTTCACCATAAATGCTCCTATTTTGTTTGTTTATTTAGAAAAATGGATCATTGTTATCTTTCATGATTGTTATCTTTCCTGAGGTTTTGGAATACTTGCAGAAAGCCCATAATTTTTACCACATTGAATCTCATGAGAGCTTCAGATTTAATTTCCATAAGAAGAGAACAAATATTTAACTGCTTTCATTCTTGTTGCAGAAACACAACAATGCCTTTTGGCCTCTAGATGGTGCCATCAATTGTAGTCTGCATTCTGAAGTATGGTGCCAGATTATCCGATGCATTCTTTTCTTTTTGCTTATAGTGCTTCCTATTCATTTGGATATATGTGTGAACATTCATTTAATTTTCAAGAAAAAAATCAATTAAAAGTTATTTCGTGTAATAGTTTTAAATCAGCATTAGGTTTTGTAGTACCAACAACATGGTGAAGTACAATATAATAAAATTAGGATGCCTTCATACACAATTATGGAGATGCAAATTAATCACCTTGTGAATGGTTACCCTGTAATCCAGGGGTCTTGAAACTTGGCCCTTTTATGACTTGTGGACTTCAACTCCCAGAATTCCTCAGCCAGCATGCATGCCTGGCTGAGGAATTCTGGGAGTTGAAGTCCACAAGTCACAAAAGGTTCAAATTTGAAGACCCCTGCTATAATGGCTTGCATCATTATCACCATCGTTTATGCATCCAACTCTCAGCAACTTATCAATAAGGGGTTGGGACCTTAAACAGCAGTTTAAATGGTAGCAATTAAGTTAGATAATTCAGAAAATCATACATTATTCATACAAAAATCTGTTTTTATTAAATTCTTAGGTGACAGGGTTTGATAGTGTGGATGATGAATCAAAACACAGTGATCACATGTTCTCTGAAAGGAGCCCCCATCCTGATATTTGGACTAGCGAAAAAAATCCTCCATATAGCTATTATTTGTATTATATGTACGCAAACATCATGGTTCTCAACAACCTTAGAAAGTAAGTAGTAATATTTCTATTTTCATGTCTCTGTGTTTGGTAGAAAGGTATAACAAGGGATTTATATCATGGTTTTGTAAGATAAACAAAAATACATAAAATTTATCTCCCCTTTCCCTTTTAAAATTTATTTTGCTTCCACCTTTCTAATTACACAATGAAGACATGCTGGAGTTCTACACATTTCCAGGTTGACAATTCTGCTCTGGGCATTGGGATTAGGCATAAATTGTCCTAATGATAAATTCCGTTACAGATGCTATTGTCATTTGAAGGCAGATGAACAAATAAAAAGTTGAATGTCTTATAATTCTAAACAAGCCTTTCTTAACCGATGATCCTTAGATGTTCTTGGAACAGGATTTGTGTCATCTGTGACTTTGATGGGAGGGCTGGGGTTAGGTAAAAATTGAGAGATTTTGCTTACAGCCTGAGAAACATCAGTGTAGAACATTTTGTGCACAAAGTCCCTTTTGTTAAGTAAGGAGGGGATAATTTTCCAGACTGAAGATCATCAGTACCTGTAGTATGCATTCTAATTTTCATTTTAATCTTTTTTGTGATCTCTATATGAAATCTGTTTTATGAGTTTTAGCAATGAAGTGGTATCAGCAGGAGCTCAAATTTCTGCATTGCTTGTGACTACATATAGAGTCACTTTCAGCATTACTTCAGCAGCAGGAGTGATTAAAGTTGTAATTACTACTCTGTAGAATTATGTCCATCACAGGTGACATTTCTCTACCTTGCCTGGAGCCATTTGTAATTAGATTATCATAGTGAACCTGTAATTTGCACAGTTAGTACAGATTATCCATTATCTCATAGACATGTGTTTATTTGTTTGCAAATCTGTTTGCATAAGCACAAAATCGGATTGCAAACACAGCGCAGCCTAGAGATTTAGAGTGACTTCAGTTGTATGGAACCGGAGAGAAAGGGTGAAATCAAGAAATTTAAAATGAGAAAACAAAGCAGACAAGATCTTCAAAGTCAGCTATGCATAGCATGTTTAGACAGTAGCATTTAGGCCTTGGTAAAATATAATATGAAATAAAAAAATTAAGTTTCAAGGATTGAGACAGAGCTGTGGTCACAATCTAATATTTGAAGCAGTTTAATCTCTGCTGTGTCATGAGAGTTAGCCCGTTGGCAGAATTATCCTGCAATGAGTCATTTGAGCTGCAGTCACAAATACCTGTCTAATGAAATGGAGGGCTTACAATGATGAAATGACCGAAAAAAATGATATAACCAAAGGAGTAAGACAAGGATGCCCACTTTCCCCTCTTCTATTTATTTTATCATTATAAATACTCCTGACAAAAATCAGAGAGGACCAAGAAATAAAGGGTTTAAAAATTAAGAAGGAAGAATATAAGGTCCAAGCCTTCGCTGATGATTTGATATTTATTTTGGAAGATCCATTAGAAACCGGCCTTAAATTGATTCAAAAAATAGAAGAATTTGGTGAGGTAGCCAGACTTAAGATTAATAAGAATAAATCCAAATTAATAACCAAAAATCTTACAAAGGCACAGGAAAGTGAACTGGAAGATAAAACAAAGATAAGTATAACTAAGAAAATAAAACATTTAGGGATCGGTGAAGTGTTCCTCGATTAAGGAGGATAATTATGATAAAATATTACACCAGATAAAAAAAGATTTAGAAAATTGAGAAAATCTACAAATTTCATTTTTAGGGAGGACTACACTATGGTCAAAAGGAATATATTGCCAAAAATATTATTTCTGCTCCAAGTTATTCCAATAAAATTAGGGAAAACACTCTTTCAAGAATTAAATAAATTGGTCACTAAATTTATATGGCAAAGGAAAAAACCCAAGATTAAATTAAAACTCTTGCAAGATATGAAAGATAAAGGGGGATTGGTGATACCAGAGTGGGAAACATACTACCAAGCATCGAGCCTAACTTGGCTAAAAGAATGGATGGAATTGAAAAATACCAGAGTTTTAACAATAGAAAGACATGACTTGCAAGCAGGGTGGCATACATTCCTGTGAGACGAAAAATTTACAAAATACACAGATATTTTCAAAGAAACACAGTTAGGAATGCATTGCTACAGGCTTGGGAAAAAATAAAACAATATAAGAATTCCAGTGTGGTTATCCCCAACAGAAGCTCTCAAATACCCAAACCTACTGGATATAAATAAGATAATTAGATACAAAGAATTAGTAAACGAACAGGGAAATCTGAAAACAAAACAAGAATTGGAACAAGATATAGGCAGAGAGATTGACTGGTGGACATTTACACAAATTCAATCTAAATATACAGAGGACAAAAAATTATATGAAATACAAAAAGAGCTGCAAGAATTGGATAAAATTATACATGGAACAGAAATAAAATTAATTAGCAATTTATACAAATACTATTGAGATATAAAATGGAAGACAAGGTTGTCAAAGATACAATGATTAGATGGGCAAAAAAATTTGGATATAATATAGAATTGGAGAAATGGGAAAAAATATGGGAAATAAAAATAAAATTGACTATGTCAGCGGCATTCAAGGAAAACCAGTTGAAGATGTTTTACAGATGGCATCTTCCATCAGCAAAGCTTGCCAAGATGTTCCAGAACAATTCGCCAACATGTTGGAAATGTAAAAAAGTACATGGAACATATTATCATTTATGGTGGACATGCCCAGTTGCGAAAAAATACTGGACTAAAATAAGAAGATGGATCAAAGAAATAATAGACCAACCCGTAGACTGGAAACCAGAGACTTTTTTTGCTGGGTATTTTAAACAGAAAATATAGTAAAGAAATACTATATTCTACATATAATACTTAATTCTACATATAATAATGGCAGCAAGAATAGCATATGCACAGTTCTGGAAAAATGAGAATACACCATCAGAGGAAGAAGTGATAAGGAAAATCCTGGACCTTGCTGAGATGGATAAATTAACAAAAGAGATAAAAGAAAAGGACACACAGTACTACTTAATATGGAATAAGTGGTACGACTGGTTGGAGACTAGAAATAATAGAGGAGAATAAATGTGGAAAGGTCAAAAGTGGAAAATGTGTGTATAATAATGTATAGTAATAATAATATGTATTAGTTTTAGTATGAAGTATAGTATGAAGGAAGAAAAATGCAAACAAGAAACAACGGGACAAGGACAAATATATCTAAAGAAGAATAAGGGGGGAAAATGTAAATAATACAAGATTACTGTTACAAAATTGCTGTTAAAAAAGGAGAAGTACACACTGTGTGTGTATGTGTGTTATGTTTTGTTTTGTCTTGTTTTGTTGGTTTAAAAAATAAAAATTTATAAAAAAAAGAAAAAAAAAAGAAATGGAGGGCTTATCTTTGAACAAGTGTACAGGGCCAACCTAAACTATTTTTAATTTGAGGCCCAACAGCCACTGAGCCTCTTCTGTCCCCTTAGTTAACATGAGAGAGTTTGTGTCTTTGAAGTCAGGCTAGGATAGGGGCTGCCACAGGCTGTGATGGAGAAGGACTTACCTCTGAGTAACTTAATATACGTATTGCTGCCCATCAGTGGCCCATTGTCACAGATGCATATTTTTTGCACTTCCAACAGCCGTTGTGTGATGTATCATATGACTGGTCTTGGGATTTCAGAATGGGAAGGTATGGTGCTAATAGTATTTTAAATTGTTATAGGGAGAGAGGCATGAGCACCTTCTTGTTTCGACCTCATTGTGGAGAAGCTGGATCTATAACTCACCTGGTATCCGCTTTTCTAACTGCAGACAATATTTCCCATGGATTGCTCCTGAAGAAGGTATAGTAATGGTTCTACTGCAGCCACCACCAATCTATTGTCCTCCTAATAAATTACTTCAGCTCGTAGAATTGTTTGGGACTTCTGAAACTGAACACATACCTTTGGGTGTCATCAGATCAGTTTAATTTGTGGTACTGTAAGTTAGACACACACTGTGTTCATAACTGGTCCATAACTAGTCCTCTAGTTATGAACACAGTTGGGACCAGAACTTCCAGTCCAAAATAATGCAGTGATTGAGTGAGTCCCACCCAATTCTACAACCTTTTTGTCGCAGTCATTAAGCAAATAATGTGGTTCTTAAGCAAATCATGCAGTCTTTATGTGAATTCCCTCATTGACTTTTCTGGTTTGAAGCCCCCTGGGAAGGTTGCAAATGGTAATTACTTAACCTCAGTCACTGCAACTGTCATAAATACACGCCAGTTGTAAGACACTTTCTTCACTGTGATCATATTTTGAAGGATTGTTAAATGAATGGATGTAACTTAACCTGTATACATCATGGGTGTATATGGGATCTATAGATCTCCATCTTGAGGTTTACTACATGCAAACAAAGATGTTTATTTTCTTTATATCATATTGTTCTGTACTTTCAGATTGTTGCCCTTTTTAACAGATCTTAGAGGACTCACAAGGCCTACTTGCATGCCAGGTCCCCAAGCCTGTATAACTCTCATAGGACCACCATGACTAAGCTCATGTGGGCTTATTGCTGAGTGGATGTATGTGTCTGATTACTACAAATGGGAAGCTTAAAGACATATTTACTTTTGTGTGTTTGAAATCAATGGGATTTATAAAAAGCTTACTTTCAATTAGCTTTCAGTTAGCAATTCTCCACTGGGTGGCAGATTTCAATATAATTCTGACACAAACTGTTCTAATTGAGAAATATTCTATTTTATTGGACAGCAAACATGTGCTTCCTTAAGGACTTTTTCCAGATAGCTATGTTAACATGTAACTGCAACAGTGGTTGCTCACTGATAAATGGACTGAATAGGAAGATCGAAAGCTGGTTTTTGAAGGAGTAGCTTGTACTAAAGGCACAATTCAGTCACCATAGACAGCAAAAGACCTTTTGTTTCCTACTTCAGTTAATGCAGTAACACATGTTTTAACATCTCAAATATGTTTATTTTTTCATTATAAAAATGTACTTTTTAAAAAATACATCAATGAAATGCAAAATAAAAGTGTATAGTTGTATATATAACAACTCAACTTGTATAATGCCAGAGGGCTGGGGTCAGTTAAAGTTTCCCAAGCTGTAAAAATGGTTTTCAATTTTCTCTGGCTGAATGTTTCCTTTCCTGTTATCTCTGTGTGAATGAATAATGATTTTGGGTATTGTTTTTGTACAGAGTCCAGTTCTCCAGTATCTTTATTATCTTGCACAAATCCCCATTGCCATGTCTCCTCTTAGCAACAACAGCTTATTCCTGGAGTATTCAAAAAACCCATTGCGAGAATTCTTGCACAAGGGACTGCATGTTTCTCTGTCCACAGATGACCCCATGCAATTCCACTATACCAAGGTAATTTGCATGAAAGCAATTTAAAAATTTAATTTCTATCTGAAACCATATTAAATTAAATGTTTTCTTATTAAATTCAGCAGCAGCTCTCCAATCTTACATTTGTTTGTTTGAAAGCAATTAGTTTTCAGTCATCATTTCACTTTATTTAAGAGGGCATAGAATTCTATTCGCAATTTAATTATTTACTGTGTTTGAATCCTAAATGTGGAATGTTGAATCCTGGAATACTTGTAATGCTCATAATGCCCTTTTGTTTCTCAAGCCATTCTCCTTATCCCATTTGCTGGGTGCTGAAGCATGGAGTATGGACTCCAGTCTCCTACATTCTTCTTTCATGTTATTTCACCATTAAAACCTAGAATGTCTGTGTTTCACAGGATTTCTTTCTACTCTCAACAGTTTTCTTTGCCATTTGTTTTCCACGTCTCTTAAATGTTTCAAGGTTAATCTGGCATTTCAGTAGCAACAGTCCTGCAGGTGGACTATGAAGCATACGGGTGGTCTGGTTTGGGTATAATCGATCCATGAAAATTGAAGAAGGCAAATGACCAATTTTCATAAAGTATAGTGCTTGCAGAAATAAATTTAACTGTGTAGTGGCTGGAGTTTCCACCACTTCTACCAGGCTACCCAGGTCTGAAACTTTAATAGTTGGATCTTGTCAACTATAATGGGAGACATCTGCTGATAAAAGGGTAAGAAGATGAAATTTCATCAAATTTTCCTGATTCTCTGAACTCTTAGTCCTGCTCCCACTATTCTGGTGGCCTCATCAATCCCCTAGAGAGTTTTCAGGGAATATAGAGGACAGCAAGGGAAGAACAAAATTAAGGAAGAAAAGAGAAGACCTCTACAAAATTATATTTCCTTTTACTAGAATTGGTCCTTTTGCTTTCAGGAAGTGAGAAATAAATGAATAAATGTATTTGATAGTAAATCATATATTTCTGTATATATAATTGAAGGAAGCACTGATGGAGGAATATGCCATAGCAGCCCAAGTTTGGAAACTGAGTACTTGTGACCTGTGTGAAATTGCAAGAAATAGTGTACTACAAAGCGGCTTGTCACACAAGGTAAATTTACTTTGCTCCTATAAGTACCAGACGTTTGAGGATGTAGGGGACAAACTAGGTGCTGCACTTTATAAATAAAAATAAAAATGCATATATTAAGTTACCAGAGGACCTGATCATCACACATAATAGGAATATTTTAGCTCATGACATCTTTTTTCTAATGGTGTGGGATAGAAGTGATTAAATTCTGAGCCCTTGAGCTTCGTTTACAATATTGATTTACCTTTGCCACTGTAATGAATGAAACAGAAAAGATGGCATGAATTTACCCATGGGGCATTGCCGGGGGGGGGGGAGTCAAAAAATCCCATATAAAGGGCATCTTGACTTTTTTTCACACTTCCTGCAGATGCTGTTGTTTACATATAGGCTTAACTTGTTCTTGATTTCTATCAGACTTGTCCAATTTACCATTCACAATTCCTATTCAGCTTCCTCAAAGGCTATCTGGAAATTTTGGGAGTTTCAGTCCAATATATTTGAAGACATAGTTTGGGGAAGGTCGCATTTCACTGATCTCTAGTTAATTATCTAGTGTAGTGTTGCAGAATAAAATCATGCCTGTTAGAGAGCAAAAGAAACTAGGGTCTCTTAAGAAAGCTGCTACATGAGGTTGCAAGCTATCTTTGTATATTAATCAATTTGATAGCAGTTAAAAAGACTGGAAGTTTTTGTTCTCTCTCTCTCTCTTTCAATAAACGACCTCCTCCTTTTCAAAAATGCCATTATGTGGAGAACACATCTTCCAGATCCTTGAGTTCAGGAACTTTTCAAACAGTATCTTCTTTTCTCTCTGTTTCTCTAGGAAAAACAGAAGTGTATAGGTCTAAATTACTGTGCTGAAGGCCCAGAAGGAAATGATATTAGAAAGACAAATGTTGCACAGATTCGAATGGCTTACAGATATGAGACTTTATGCAATGAACTGAGTTTTCTGTCTGATGCGATGAAGACAGAAGAGATTACAGAACTGTCAAAATAGCCACAACTAAGCCTGAACAAAAGAGAGAATGTAAGCTTTTGCAGGACAGAAAGTCATCTGATCATCAGAATTCTTAAGTTACATCAGAATCGCTACAAAACCAGTTTCTGCAAGTGCTTACCTTAAATAGGATTGCTATAGTTGCCAAGATGCAGGCTTCTAGCTATTTGATTTAATGCACATTCTAACTCTAGTCATTATAGGTTTGCATCACAAGATACATAAAGTTCTGCTTTGAAAAAAGTGACACGGGACAGTAATTTTTGGTAGCACACATGGACCAGTTTTCTCACAATTTTTCTCATATTGGATTGATGGCACTTTAAACTTTAACTTCTGTTTAGATTTCAGATGTCTGATTGTACAGAGTACTGTAGTGTCCGTTAGTTAACAAAGACCATCCTGAATTTAGAAACTAAAATCTAATATAACCAAAAATCAGCACATTGCTCCTAGATGTTTAGTGGACATACTTGGCTTTTCTAGATGGGCCCTTTAATTGAAGAGTAATTTAATATGGTAATTTCCTGAGGCATCAAGATATAAGCCAGATACCTGAAAAATGCAAACCAGCTGTTGATATATCCACCAGGATTTGCTACGTGATCCAGTGGAGCTTTTTCAGTTCAACACATCCATATCAACTTTCCACTTTATTCACCATTATGAGACTTGTTCTACCCCCTTGATTTTTTTCAGTTAAGAACTTTCTTATCTATGAATCGGGAGGCATATTTGTTTGCAAAAATATGTATTCATGCACATTAGAATATTAAGACTGGTTACATTCACACTTTTCATTAAACTGAGGTTTATTTTAACCCTTGTTGAATAAGCCACAGTAACATTGGCACATAGTGCTAGGTTTTAAAGCATGGTAATTTACTCTTACATCAGCAAGATTTATTAATCTTGTTAAACGAAACAAATCCAATCATCATTTAGTATAATGTGAGGTGTGAATAAAGATGACATATGCATAGACTTAAACTGCATTTTGTAGTTTGTATGAAACACACTAAAAATGGGAAGTTTGATAGCTTAATATGCCACTACTTCATTGCTATGATGTAAAAGTGTGGGAACTGGAATTTAATGAATTATCACATGGGTGTCAAACTCGATTGCATCACGTGACATATCATGACGTTTTTTCTTTTGTGGAGCCCGGGTGAGGTATCCGGCCTGTGGGCCACCAGTTTGATAGCCCTGATTTATCAACTGCTGTAGGTAGGGTCAAAGTTATATGGAGTTTATTTTGAATATGTAAACTTAAAAATGAACTATTAGAGGCAGTTTCTGAGTTCTGAAAAGCAGTTATATGTAATTACTATTAATGGTAGTAGTTATATAACATGTCACTTATTAGCCATTTGAAATAAAATGATAATTCTGAAAAGGGGAGATAGAAAGTAAAATTTGTCACAAATTCTGAACTTCTTAGGAAAAAAAGGGATAACAATTTTCTCTCCTTGCACTTATGCTTCTAATTTAAATATTACCGTAGTCTGGAAAAAAAGTTGTACAAAAAGTTTTAGTGCAAATATATAATTGTGGTTGGGAAGATATTTCAATTTCATAAATGCAAAGTTATTTTCATTTGTTTCTATCCAGAAGAATGACTATCCAATCCAGGTTTACTTCACATCTGACCAAATTTAGCTCTCCTAATCCAATAAATGCAAATTGTTCACAGAAACAGAGGCTCAGGAATCTTTCCACAAAATAATTATAAAGGCAGCTCCCATATTTGGAATTTAGCATTCTATTCTGGGATACTGTGGCAGATGAACAGATACTATCAGCTTTGACCAAAGATGACCATGACAAATTACATTTATCTTTGTTGGCTAATAACAATTTTAGAACTTGACCTTATAGCCAAGGTTATCAATGCTTGACAGATAATCTAAATTTCATTTGAAAAAATTATCTATTTTGTTATTAGAAAAATCTCCATAATGTAATTAAAGAACATAACCAAAAGTTTGTTTCTTTCAGTATTTTGTGTTTTCCTTTTATACTAGCTATTATGCACATTAAATTGAAAATCTTTTAAAAATTTATTGTTATTAATTGCAACCACTGCTTGTTTCCCTCTCAATATTAGCTGTACTTAGTGGAGCAGAGATAGCAGGCTTTTCAAAGAAGGAAATCTTGGATTCCATATTGTTTTTGTTTTAAGTTTTTACAAAAATTTGTAAAGAAATCACTGCTCTGTTAAAAAGCAGTTTAAACCACACTCACTATGGCAAAGTATTATGCAGCTATAATGGTTGTACAACAGGAATGGCTAATTCTAACCACACAGCAATCCTGTGTTTTCAATATGCTAAGCCCTACAGCTGGCAAAGCCTCCAGTATCTGCTCTGGACATGGACAGTTGCTATGGAAGCTGTTCGAACTATCTTCGTTTACCTGCACAGCTAATTCAAATAAAACACAGGTTCTGTGTATGTGCATTTATGTAAAGACAGCTAAAAGCAATTATGAATAACGTAAGTGGAAAAGACATAGCTGCTTTAATAAGTTGAGATGATATGCTCAATAGGCACTCCTGCATATTTGGAAATAACTTACTTGAAAATTCTAGTAAGCACAGATATGGTTTCTTATTGAGATGTATTAATGAGCCTTAAAGTAAATTTACAAGGGTTTAAAATTGCACTATTGCAAGTTCTTGAAATATTTTGGTAAGCTATATTCCATAATTGTGGTACCTTCTTTCTTGAATTATAACTGAAGGCCAGATATTTTCTCAAAGGGAATTACCTACTATACTTTTTTGATGATGTAGACTTTTATGGGTGAAAGTTTAACTGTCAATTTTGTTTACTTGCATTATTTTATATAATTAAAATAACTATTGTTTGTACATGAAACTTTTGGATGCTAGAATGCTAACATGAACTGATTAGTATTCAAATAAATCCTTCCTAGTTTAAGATGGATTATGGGAGTTATGTCCAGCTTGAACGAGAAAAATGGTTTGAGTTATTCATGTACAGTATGTATTTTGTTGTGTAAAATATTCAGAGATATTTATAGCATGAAGCTTAATAAATGGAAATGTTAAACATTTATACATATATTGATGTTTGCCCTATTCCATAACCCTAAATGAAGTCAATTTTGATTATTACTGTCATACTTATTACTGTGTTACAAGTACGAAGCTCACTAACCCACAAACTCTATGTAGGACAAAGATAAAATAAAAAACAACAATACTACTATAAGGAACACAGTGTGAGTAGTATTTTTCTGGTTAGCCATATAGTTGACTGCTGATTTCCTCTAAATTTTCTATTTCCGATCATCCAGTAACCAATAGGAGTAGGAAGACTAGTCTCTGGTGCTTGAAAAGCTAGGTGGTACAATGTTGAGGGAACAAGGGAATTCTGTCATAAGCTCCAAAACTGGCCCAACATAACCCCAGAAACAGCACAGACTTAATTCCAAAGTCAGAATAACCGCCCCGCCCCCCGGATATAGAAATTAATCTCTCAAAGCACATTTTGTTTCAAGCTCAAAACAAACTGAATACAAGGTCAAAATGATCTGTACATCTCTGGCCAGGAATATATAAAATAACTTACTTTCTTGAAATTATTTTATGTGTATGCATTGTGAATTTGAACACCTAAGAGAAGGTATATCATTAAACATTACACAAAGATGAATAATTCAAGTGTTTATTGCTCAAAACTCATAATACATTAAATTGCTTATAGTTATTAACAGTCTTATATAAAACCACTAAGAAAAGTTCACATCCACACAAAAGAACTAAGGAATGCATATTTTTCTCCTCTTAACAGTAATTCAGCTCATGAACATATCTTTTAAAAACCCTTTTTTAAATTTGTCAATCTTCATCAGGTTCAAGGTTAGAAGAATAACTCAACTGGGCTGCAGTTTTACACAATTAATGTAGCACAATTATTTCTTAAGATAGGCCTCTAGTTTGCCATATGTTTAATGGTAGTGGTAAATGGTAGTGTATGTGTCAAAAGGCATGGGTAAGCAACTTGTAGTAATCTCTTCCATGTCTTTGAGTGTTATAGCTTCTCCTGTAATTCCTTTAATAAGAGCCAAAGCTTCACAACACAATGGAAACAGAGAAAAGGAAGACAGCAAATGATCCATAGCTAATCTGTAAAACACTATATACACACACACACACACACACACACACACACACACACACACATATTAAAAAGGATATTAAAAATAGAAGCATGATTCCTGGGTGTATACATGGTGAGAATAAAATATGATCACCAGGAAAAGTTAAAACATTAAAAGTTTTAATATAAAACAGAAGTTTTAAATAAAAACATTAAAAGTTTTAAAAGATTAGCAACCTAGCTTTCGTTGGCTCCTGCCAACTTCATCAGGGCGTACACAAATCAATGGGAGTGAACATTTATATGTAAGTTAATGCCTGCGCTCGACTCCTGGACCGTGTAATAGGTCCAGGTCGGCCAATCATAGCATTCCCTGCAATTGCTGCATGATTGAATGCTATGATTGGCCGACCTGGACCTATTACACGGTCCAGGAGTCGAGCGCAGGCGTTAACTTACATACAAATGTTCACTCCCATTGATTTGTGTACGCCCTGATGAAGTTGGCAGGAGCCAACGAAAGCTAGGTTGCTAATCTTTTAAAACTTTTAATGTTTTTATTTAAAACTTGTTTTATATTAAAACTTTTAATGTTTTAACTTTTACACACACACACACACACACACACAATATAGTGTTTTACATATATATTAACTATGGATCAATATATATATATAACACTTGTATTAATATGTATATTTAAAAGGATAGAAACACTACATAATTCACATTTTCACTTTACACATATTTACAATTGTGAAATTACCGAACCTATAATTTCATGTCCCCTCTATGGACTGCATACCCATATTTTAAAGCTTCCATCTCTCAAGATTTGGTGTACAGTTTTTATATTCGTAACAGGAAAAAAGGAAAAGCAGTATCAGGACTTAATGATCTGCTTACATTTCAAATATTTGTTCTATCAATCAAACCTTACACAAAGAAAAAAAAAGAATGGGTTATTGTTTCTACCATGTCAGTATTAAAGTACTGGACACTTTAATCACAGCACTGCAAGTCCAAATATATCTAGGGTATAGGGAAAATCAAATCCAGGATTAGCTTTATAACAAGTGAAAAACACATCAAAACAAAAACAAGAAAACAAAAACAAGAAAATTTGTTTACTCTGAATTTTAAAGCCCACTTGAAAATCAATTGTCAGAAAGAATACTTGCAATACATGAATTTCTCTATATCAAAGCTTTCTTAAGTAATAAGACATGCTCTTCAAACCTTCACATCATATTAAATAAAGAGAAAAAATACTAATTTCTACTCTATTTTAATTTAGAATTTGATAAATCTCTCAAAAAACATGTTTGTCATATTCTGAAGTGGTAAGGTTCAATATCTGAATGTAATTTATAGAAATCTTGCAGCTAATAACGTAGGTGTACAATTTAATTAGTTTAACCTATATTTATGTGCATCATTTTAGCAACAGTAGAAAACAATTTTATTATTATACATATTTACCAGACAATTCCAAATAGGGCCATAAGACCTTCATGATATTTAACTATTACCCCATCTTTCCTTGTGTGGTGCCAAATCTATTCTATAAATAATAATTATAATAATAGCAGTTGTGAAAAATGTAAAATCCAACATCAGTAGTGCATCAGTTCGGAGATTTGTGCTGGCCCGATCTGCCTAGGGACTTGATTTTGGGGGGCTAGGCCCATTTTAAGCTGCTATTTGAAATAAATTTTTAAAAATCACTCAGGACCAATTTTGTGGATTGGAAAATGGTGGCTTTCTGGTAAGGTAACAATTAAGGACACATTTGTCATACCTCACACCAACATTCGATTACAACATGCATACTACATTAAAGCAAAGTGATCACAATAAAATGAAAGATATATTTTTTTTGCTTCAGATTGTACCTAAAGGAAAAGAAAGTAAGAATCTCTGTGCTTTAGCATCTCATTTCACAGTAATAGCATATCTTACAAACTGGTAAATAGAAGGCTAAGCTAAGCAAAACAAACTACATAACAATAAACCTGTTTCAGCCAAATTTTGTAATTAACATGTCTCTTGCCAGAAATATTTGCCAAGAGACAGAGCAGAATATAGAAGTTTTGTTTTTTTTTTTAACTATCCACACTATGCTTCAGAGATTCACTGTTTCGGAGAGGTTTTAGCCCAGGGGACTGCTCTTCAAAGCATGTAGGAAATGAAGAGATGGGAGAAAGGGAATAAAGACTGCTACATCAGAAGCCTTCCACTAATAGAGAAGCTACTTTGCTGGATCCATCCATGATACTGCATAGACAAACTTTAAGTAATTAATACTGTTTAGAAAATTGTCTTTGATGAAAATGAAAAAGTCCATCATTTATTAAAAAAAACTGTTTTCATAAAAGATACCATAAAAGGAATGTAACATACCAATTACTGATTAATCAAACGCCTGTCAATAATAACAGTTGCAATATTTCCTAGGAGGGAGAACAGAAACTACTAAGTTCAAGAACTCTAGTCATTTTAATTCACATTTAAGTATTTGAGCATTGTTTCTAGACAGTGTTGGACAACAGGACTTGCGAACCACATTCTTCAACTGAGACAATGAAGTCAACTTTTAACAAACACGTAACAGTTTTACTAGAACTAAAATACTTCCTATTGCAGTACCTCATGAAACATCAGAAAATTCATAGTGTATTGAGTGTAAAAATGTTATCAGAGTAATTAATAAAAGTAATAAATACAGGTAGGCTTTCAAAGAACTAGTTGTTATTGAAAAAATAATGATTTAGCTTCTAGAAACCAATGTAATGAATAAAGAAATGAAAAATAATGAAAATGGTATCTTGGGAGATGTTAAGACTATGAATGTTAAGACTAATATCAGGGTATATGGGGCTGGCCTGCCCCATCCACCAAGTTGAGTATGTAAGTGGCCATATCTTCCTCTGTAGGAGCTTCAGATACAACCCAAGAATCATTTGCAGCAGTCACCTGTAGGCGGCATACAGGGCAGTTCCTGTGACGACCACTCCTGTAAAGGAAGTCAGAAGAAACCGTCACTGCTTTTCAGATTTTGTACTGACAATGCACAGGACTATCTTTGCTCTCATAGTAAGATAAAATAGGATCTTGGATAAAAGGCTAAAGGAGGAGTGCTTTATCTACGAGAGCATGCTAAAAATGATAGTGAGAATATCCACAACATAGATTGCGCAAACTCGTTTTTGAAAGTCATCAGGCAATGAAATCTTAAGTTTCCAAAGAAAAACATCCTGTTGTTTTTTAACTGAAAAAATTTATATTAACCCAAATGTCTATAATTTAAAGTAATTGGTCACCCTGTCAACAAATACTGACTGCATTCAGCTATCACTTGGCTAAGATGTAAGGGATATAGCAAACCCTATCAGTATCACAGAATGGCATGATGGCTAAAATTTTCAGATCTGTTTTGGCTTTTTTATGAGGTTGGGGCTGCAATAAGAGGCAAAATATTTAAAGTACTCATTTGCATGCACATGCGCAAATGGGCCACGCACACCCGCCTGGTGCTAGCAGCCCCATTCACGCCCACAGGTGCTAGCACGAGTGGGGAGGGAGTACGTGCGCACACATCCGTGCACTGGCCAGCCATTCCCGTGGCTCATAGGTTAGGGACCCTTGACTTAAGAAATAAATGGAGCAGAGAAACCGAAAAATAACCAGGTTGAATATTCTGCTGAGAATGTCTTTGCCTTACTGCTCAAACTTGTGGAGGTAAGCTGTTCCACTGGTTAATTGTCCTCACTGTCAGGAAGTTTCTCCTTAATTCCAGGTTGCATCTCTCTTTGATCAGTTTCCAACCATTGTTTCTTGTCTTGCCCTCTGGTGCTTTGGTGAATAACATGACCCCATATTCTTTGTGGCAGCCCTTCAAATACTGGAATACTGTTATTATGTCTCCCCTATTTCTTCTTTTCTTTAGACTAGCCAGATCCAAGTCCCATGTATGCTTCTACGTTCTACGTGTGCTTTAGTCTCCAGGCCTTTAATCATCTTAGTTGCTCTTCTCTAAATTTTTTCCATACTCTCAACATCTTTTTTGTGATATGGTGACCAAAACTGGCTGCAGTATTCCAGGTGTGGTCTTACTAGAGTTTATAAAGCAGTACTAATACTTCACATGATCTTAATTCTATGCCTGTTTATACAACCCAGGATTGTATTGGCTTTTTTGGCTGCTGCTGCACACTACTGTCTCATGGTCAAGTGATCATCCACTAGGACTCCACGGTCCCTCTCAGTTATTGTTTTTAAGCCAGGTCTCGCCCAATCTGTACTTATACTTTTGATTTTTCCTGCCTAAATGTAAAACTTTGCTTTTCTCCACATTGAAACTCATTTTGTTGGATAGGGCCCATTGTTCAAGTTTGTCAAGATCTTTTTGGATCCTGAATTTGTTGGCTACTCCTCCCAGTTTGGTGTCATCTGCAAATCTGATGAGTTCCCCTTCAATTCCCCCACTGCTTACTTCTCTCCATGTGGATGTAGTGCCATTGAGGACTACTCATTGAGTACGGCTTGCCAGCCAGCTACAGATTCATCTGGTGGTAAAGTTGTCTATTCCATCTTTTTCTAGCTTACTAAGGAGTAGGCTGTGGTCTACTTTATCAAATGCCTTACTGAAGTCTAAGTATACTACGTCCACAGTATTTCGCTGATCTCTTAGTTTAATCACTTTTTATTTTAATTTAAAAGTGTAATAACTAATATTAATTTGTTTACTTTGTGCTGGCATGCCTCTTAAGGTTTCTGAGTAACATGTATATAAACATGTATGCATACCTATTCAAATATGCAAGTATATAAATGCACATATTTGGTTTTTTTTTATAATAATTTTTTATTTTTCCAAACTCTCCCCCATACATATACCGTGATATTTATCAGATGTTAACATACATTCTTTTTACATTCATATATAAGATACTTTTAATAAAATGAACTACATACACATGACTTTTGGTGTTGCTCGCCCATTTCCCCTTTCACTGTATCCACGCTCCTTCTTCTCTACTTTCTTTCTCTCTTTCTTCTCTTCCCTACTTCCCTCTTCTTCCTCTCCTCTTCTCTTTCCTTCACCACTCTCCTCCCCTTTCTCCCCACTTCCCTCTTCTCCTCCAACCTTCCTACTTCCTTCTCCCCTCCTTTACTCTTTTCTCTCTCCTCTCCTTTCTTCCCTCTCATCCCTCTTCAGATACAATTCAGGGGTAATATCCGAGCAACTCCTCTCTCCAAATTTCCCTATCTGTATTATATACAATAAGATTAATTTTCTCTTACATTAATACTTCTATTTATCTAACCTTCTCGGTATATACTTCTATAAATATTTATACAATCTCCAGTTATTCAATACTGTGTCACCTGGGTCTCCCTCCTTATCTGCTCCTTCTTCTTCCATCTAAATTGATGTTAACTATCTTTTAACCGTATTCTCTTTTCAGCCAATCATAAAAAGTTCCCCAGATTTCATAGTAGTCTGGCTCTGTCTTATCTTTAATTGTCATTGTTAATCTATTCATTTCTGCACATTCCAGTATTTTCCCAATCACCTCTCCCTCTGGGGAGGGGCTTTCGGTGCTTTCCAATTCTGATGACATTTCCAACATTTCACAGACCTATCTTTAAACATTTTAGCTAATCTTTCTGGAGACATGTGCCATCTGTAAAACATTTTGCAGTCACCATTGTCAATTTATAGTTTCTTCCCATAGTTGCTGCCATCTATCTAATTCAACTGTGTATCCAAAATTCCTTGTCCATTTTATCATTGTCTCTTTCACTTGTTCCTTCTCTAACTCCATATGTAGTAGATAACTGTACATTTTTAATCCATTTTTCTTCCATTCCTGTGAGTATTTCATCTGTTGTCCCCAAATTAACATCATCTATTTTAACATCTTTTTCATATCTAGATTGTATTTGCATTCTCATATACCAATCCATCTTTATTCCTTGTTCCTCTAATAGTTGTTTGGTTTTCAACTCCCCCATATCTGTTACTAAGTCTTTATATCTTATAACGTTTCCCATGTTAAACATATTGGGGTGTATTAGCGCCTCCATAGTTGAGAGCCAATTTGGAATCTTCAAATAATGCTTTCTCTTTACTTTCTCCCAGACCACAAATAAAGAATTCCTTATATGGTGTCTCTGGAAATAGCTATGTATTCTGTTTTTTCCATACCATATGAAAGCATGCCATCCAACTGTAAATCATGTCCCTCTAATGTCAATAATCTTGCATTCCTCAGTAAAATCCATTCTCTCATCCATGATAATGCTGCAGCCTGATAGTACAATTCCCAATTAGGTAGACCAAACCCACCTCTCAGTCTTGTATCTTGTAACATTTTTAGATTAATCCTTGCCTTTTTTCCCTCCAAATATATTTCAAGATTATTTTATTAAGCCCCTCAAAATATTTCTTATCTAATCTTATTGGTATTGTTGAAAACAAAAACAATAATCGTGGTAATATATTCATTTTGATTATCGCAATCCTTCCCATTAATGATAGTTGTACATAAATGCACATATTTGTATGTGTGTGAAATTCCAGGACTAGTTTCAGCTGAACTTGGAAATATGAGATTGCACTGAAAAGAAAGATTTATTTCATTTCTTCATTAAACATGGTATAATTTGTTCATGAGATTTAACTGACTTACCATTTATCAATGCATTTCTGACAAAAGCTGTGGGCACATGGCAAGATCAGATCAGCACGTCCATCCATACAAATGCAACATTCTTCCTCATCAGTAAGCTGCTTCACCCTACAATGCAAATGTATTATTTATTTATAATCAAAGATATCCAGAACTTTAATTGTACATGTAGTATGCCTTGAATTGTTTCTAGGTTTTTATTATGAATAGTTATAATCCTCTAACCCCTCATTCACTAAAAGCAATTTCACATTCAATTTGCAAGACATTATCTGGGTTTCGTCCTAAGAAAGGAGGAAGGAGACCATTATTATACAAAAAAACTTGGTGTTCTATAAACAAAACTTATGACACACATTAAAATGTTAAAAAGTACCCTATTTTCCGGCGTATAAGACGACTTTCTAAAGCGTGGAAATCGACGCCAAGTCGGGGGTCGTCTTATACGCCGAGTCATCTTATACGCTGGAAATTATGGTAGTTTCCGGCGGATAAGACGACTTTCTAGGCATGGAAATTGACGCCGAAGTCGGGGGTCATCTTATACGCCGGGTCGCCTTATACGCTGGCGAATACGGTATTTAAAAAGAATAATCATAGACTGATGTATAAATAAGTTTGTTATTTGCTTCTCTTCAACATGTACACAATTACTAAGGATTGTAGACCGAGTGGTACATGAACATTTACACACACACACACACATACACACACACACACATACACAAGCACCATACAGACTGTTGTACACAGTGGCAAATATCTATTCCTGTTATCTAGGTGCCTATTTCCAATAGTTTTCTGGCACAAAAGTGATTTAATGTCCTTTCAGCTCTCCAAATCATCTCAAATTTTCCAGAATGAAGAAAATTAATCTGAATGATAGATTATTTCTTTTTCAAAATGAACCTTCATCACTAGAGGATGTTTCTTTGAAAGAGGATGCCTCTTTTTCAGAAAAGCTTACATATATTTTCAGTAAGAAAAAAGGTAGACTTAACAACTGAGCATTCATTCATCGCACATTTTTATAATAAATGGCAACCCTCAGCTAAATTGAATCAAGTTTACTAAACTCCTTGCTGTAGCAAGAAACTGGACTTTTTCTACCTGAATGAGCAGATTCAAACATTTTTTTTAGAGTACTTCAAATACCTTCCCATCCAAAGGCTAGCCTGACAAGATTCAACAGATGACAGATCTGCTGTTCCTTCTGAGGGAGTGTTCTGTGAAAGAACCTGTGATGCCTGACTTGTGATATCTTTATGCAGTTGAATGAACTGATACAAGTTCATGATTCTTGAAGCTTCCACATTCCCACTTCTCTTGTTTATCTATAACACAGAGAACAGCATTATCGTTTTTCTTGAATCATCTCAACATTTATTCTATTTTTATTTTTAGAGCAATGTAAATCAAGAGTTCCTAAACTCAGCAATTTGACATTAGGAGATGATGCTATAAATGCCTTTATAATGTTTAGTAATAATAATAATAATAATAATAATAATAATAATAATAATAAGAATAATAATAAGAATAAGAAGAAGAAGAAGAAGAAGAAGAAGAAGAAGAAGAAGAAGAAGAAGAAGAAGAAGAAGAAGAAGAAGAAGAAGAAGAAGAAGAAGAAGAAGTAGCAGTAGCAGTAGCAGTAGTAGTAGTAGTAGTAGCAGCAGCAGCAGTAGTTGGAAGGGACCTTGGAAGTCATCTAGTCCAATCCCTGCTCAGGCAGGAAACCCTACACCATTTCGGACAAATGGCTGTCCAGTCTCTTCTCAAAAACTTCCAGTGTTGGAGCATTCACAGTTTCTGGAGGCAGGTTGTTCCACTGATTAATTGTTCTAACTGTCAGGAAATTTCTTCTTAGTTCTAGGTTGCTTCTCTCTTTGGTTAGTTTCATAATGGTAACTGACACATTAATAATCACACAATTATGACAAGCAAAACATTATAAACATAGCAAGCTACATATTTTAATAGATTATGAAAATGTGGCATTTTTTTCTAATTAACCATGAACATCCACCAAATTTATGCTTAGTGTGTATTGCTATGTATTAGAGAACATAAGATTGTGATAAACTTACTTTAGTGCAAACTATCCGAACAGCCACCTTCCATAAAGCTGTAGCATCAGACCCAGGCTGCACTTCAAATAACAGATGCTTGTTCTGGCCAGAAGCTAATTGTGCAGTTCTGGAATTATTTAACGTTTATTAAACATTCTATACATATGTAGCACAAGAGGATACACACTTTAAACATTATGATGATATGATGTACAAATTGCAACCAAATATATTTTCAAACTTAGGGTTGGATCCAAACAACGTGATCTGTGGAATGGGTTTGGTGGAAATTGTCTTTCCCACTCAGCCCCTTCCCAAGTAGCTTTCATGAAAAGACTTGTTGATATCATCTTTATCTGGTCTGGAAGAAACTTGCTAAAAGCCAACAACGTTCATCAAAATCATCTGATCCTGGAAACCTGTTTCCAGAGGACTGCCAGGAGAACTAATCAAGGAAGTCATTTCCAACCCTTTGTTTGTAACACAAACACTCCTCTTTCTTTGATTTGGCTTCTTGGGAATATAATTATTCTTTCTCTAGTTCATCTTCATTTGTGGTCCTGCAGAAGGACAACTTTAAAATAATTATGTGTTATGATTCCAGCCAAAATGCTGGAAAATTTATGTTTTATACAAACATGTGTTTATATAAAGCATGTGTTTTCATGCAACTCCTGATTTTAAGAACTGTACATAAGTGATTTGGTATATGGTTTACACACAAAGATCTCAGGCTTAATTCCTTCATAACCAGATAAGGAAAGATCCCTGTCAGATACCCTGGAGACACATTACTAGTCACCACAGATAAATGCTGAGTTAGATATCCAGTTATCTGTCTCAGTATAAGGCAACATATGTTTGCAACTACAGTATTTTTAAGACGTTTATTTTCCTCCTAAAAGTACAAACTGGAAAATGCATTCACGTCCAATAGAGATTCAATTTTAGAACACATTTTTAATAAAGTGATAATTGCAAAGAAAGTAAAGTATTTTCCAAGTAGCTCAATACTAAGCCATGGTTTAGGTTTGCATCAACTGATTTAATTGCCATTGTGAGGTTTCAATGAATGAGTACTAGATTTATTATTGCTCTTATGTAATTTATTATGGTGTCTTTAATAAGGGAAATAAGCTTCTCTCCTATCTACTAGTTTCAGTTTGAAAAACATTACAACATACATCTGATAAAGTCCTGATCGCAAAGTATGAGGGCAATTCGGAAATAAACCTCCATTTGGTTATCAATGACAGACCCCCGCAGATACAGAACTTTTATTATACACATTGGAAAACTACAACATTACATTACGTTTTGACATAATCGCCATTCAAATTGAGGCACTTGTCATAACATCTTACAAGGTAAGACGTCTTACAATTCTTTAGTAGTAGTCGCTCAGCACCAAATCTGGGCTATGGGTGTGTGTGTGATAAAAATTACCAAAGGAACTGCTTCAAAAGTTCTTGGGTGCATCTAGTGGTATGCATTATCGTGAACCAACACCACACCAGAAGTGGTGCCATAGAAAATCCCGCCAAATGTGAAGATGCCAAAAAAAGTACTGCTACTGAAGTTCATGGGGTGTGGTTCGATCATCAATTCAGAAGTTTACTGTGAAACATTACGAAAACTCAGACAAGCCATCTATAGCAAGCATTAGGGCATGCTGACTTTCAGTGTGGTGTTGGTTCACGATAATGCTCGCCAGCACACCGCTAGATGCACCCAAGAATTTTTGAAGCAGTTCCGTTGATCACCCCCCGTAGCCCAGATTTTGCGCCGAGCGACTACTACTAAGGAATTTCAAACCTTGTAAGACATTATGACAAGTGACTCAATTTGATTGTTGATTATATTGAAAAGTAACTTAATGTTGTAGTATTCTAATGTATATAATAAAAGTTCTGTATCTGCGAGTGTCTGTTATTGATAACCAAACGGAGGTTTATTTCCGAATTGCTCTCATATTTATTGTTGTTTAAGATATGACCAAACACATCCCGAGAATCTAAACCTTATATCACACGTGTAATGCAATTGTCCTATTTTTATCAGAAATTAAGCAGTCGTATACATTATATATTGCTAATAATTCATTCTGAAATGCCTTAAGCATGTTCTTGTTTAATACTTAAACTATCATATGTATAAAAGGGGGAAAAAAATCTCACGTGTCATTAAGTTCAGCTACTCTTCCCAAAAACTCTTCATATGTCAAGAAGCCACTTTCTCGAACAAGAGCGACATGCTTGACAACTTTTTCTGGCAGCTTATTCATAACTGTCTGGGTCTGGCTTGAGAGTTGCTGGCCCATAATAGAATGCTTTAGCTCAGGTCCCTGGACGAAATCCTGCGTTCCACATTTAGAGAATTTCTGATAAATATATTTTAAAACACTGTATTAGAACAAATAGTCATCACTGCATTTAATTCACAATGCATAAACTTCAAGCTAACTACGTGCTATATAGTTCAGCTGGAGTAGCTTTATATAGAGCTAACCAGATATGAAGTCAGATTAAATCCAATTCTACTGACACCTAACTCAAGCATATTCTTAAGAGGAAAATTAACATTCTGTGAATGCACATTTTTATTAACATTTTTAGTAACTCCTAAAATACAAAATATAATGACTGACAATTGCAAGTTTACAATTTTAAAACTCTGTAGACTAAACTCAAGTACTTTTTAAATGGGGAGAGAATAACATTCATTCAGGTGAAGCCATGCAGAAAATAACAGTGCACAGCAAAATCTAGTTGACTATTAAGGAGGAGAACATATTAGACATGCAAAAAACTCTCAAATTATGGTGAAGAAAGAGCTATTATTTAAAGATTATAACTTATTTTATGGTTTAATTTGTCATTCTACATTTTACTAAATATATTTTTATCTATCCAGTAGCTGGAATTTTCTAGGTCATTATCTTAAATCTTAAAAGACCAAACAAAGAAAAATTGTAAAACTGTAATGTCTACTAACAGACATTAATTTGAAAACAATATACCAGATACATTATCACAGTATTATGAAAGATTTAAAAATTATATTAAAGTCAGGGAAATGTAATACCGTTATAAAATAACACTCTTGTTCATAGGGTTGAACTTCCAAAGAGTAAATAAATCAAGGCTTAAAAATTGAAAGCATTAATTTGGAAAATGAACATTTGAACATAAACAAAATTCCTGAATTTTACAGTTTGAAGTGTAATTTAAACTGTAACTTCATTGTTCCGTAGAAGCATTTTTCAGAATTCTAGCAACCTGTTTTAATATGCTATCATTTTGCAGAATTGTCCCCCCAAATTGAGATACAGGTAGTCTTCGACTTACAACCGTTCATTTAGTGATCATTCAGAGTTACAACAGCACTGAAAAAAGTGACTTATGACCGTTTTTCACACTTATGACTGATGCAGCATTCCCATGGTCACATGATCAAAATTTGGATACTGGAAACTGATTCATATTTATGACAGTTGCAGTATTCCGGAGTCATGTGTGAATACCTTTTGTGACATTCTTACAAGAAAAGTCAATGGGGAAGCTAGATTCACTTAACTTTCTTACTCACTTAACAATTGCAGTGGTTCACTTAACAACTGTGGCAAGAAAGGTCGTAAAATGGGGCAAAATTCACTTAACAAATGTTTCACTTACTAACAGAAATTTTGGGCTCAACTGTGGTTGTAAGTTGAGGGGTACCTGTATTCCAGTTATTATTACACCCAAAACTGGTTACTTGAATCCAAATTCCCTTATTTGAAAAGGAGACACTAATTTTTTAAATTCTGTTCAAGTACATATATTTCAGAAGCATCCAAAGTGTTTTATCTCTGTAAATCAACCCAGATGTTGTTCTGCTCAGCTCCTGGTGACAGCACAAAAACATAGTTTCTCACTGCTTACTTCTGGGACAAGTGTTTCAACTTTCTGGTTAAACAAACTTAACCCAACCCAGTCTAGCCCTGCTGAGCTTTTGGGTCTGGAGAAGGTGGGGCAGGTGCTGCCACCTGCTGAGCCGTCAAGAAACGTTAGGGTATGAATCAATCTTCCTGGTGCGTAACAACTTGGGATAAAAATTGTAAACAAACTTATCTCTGAAGAGGCTGAACTGAGAAGTTGATATTTTCTGAACTTGGTTGTTTCCTTGCAGACATTTAACTAGGTAATATCCTCAGGACTGGATAATCCTGAACTACCCAGGAAAGTGCTTGTCTATTCACAAGACTCAACAAATTCAACCATACTCGCAGCTGACTAGGCTTAGGTCACTCCGAAGAGCCAAGGGGCAAAGCAGGCATAGGCAGGGCTGGCCCCCTTGAGCCCGATAGCAAAAAAATAGCAAACTCCATATGGGGGAACCTGCTCATATGGTGCCCATAAAACTCAGGCACCTGGGCTGGTCTGGAGCTGGAAAGAACCAAGTTTTTGAATTTGAGAGAGATACACCCAACACCTTGCAAATTGGACTGCTCCTCCTCCCCCCCCCATTACGAATCACAAATACTTCAGGCAAAACAAAAAAAAAGGAGCCTTTATTAAGGGGGGGGGGAAATCCAGTCATTATATAGGGTTGCATTACATCCGATGGACAAAAGACAGACACACACCCCTTTAAAATATGTTGCGTCTCCTGCACTTCAGAACGCAGGCCAATATTTGCTTAACGGTCCCTGAAAGGGCTAGTTTTTGCATATCAAAGGAAATGGGGGGCATGCTACATGCTAATACAAACGTCATTAAAATGTCAAAAATAAAATCTTAAAGGCTTCATTACGGGCCACGACACGACCGCACCCCGGTCCCGTTTTCCCGTTCTTCTTCGCTTAACTCGAGCTCTGGGCGCAAGCGAAGAGCCACCCACCCACCCCCGGCCCTCCTCCCCCCACCACCCTTCAGAGTCAAGGCCCACAAAAAACCAAACTCTCCACAGCAGCCTCACCGCTGACGCTCCAACATCCTGCTCCGAATTCGCAGCTACGGTCTCCGCCGCCAGCAACGGCTCCGCCCCACTTCGGGCGCCGAGCCTCCTACCCGCTCGCTTGCACAATAGAATGCGTGACGTCAGGACGCGGCATACGGCACAGGGTGAGTCCCGACGCGCTCAGCTGACCTATTGAAGTTTCGCTACCTTTTGGTTGCCAGAATCTCGAAAATAGCCGAACTGGCCCGAGGTTTTTGAGGGGTAACTACATGGTTCGTCATCATCTTTTTTTCTACAAGCCTGCAGCATGTTTTAAAATTATAAGAGGCAAAGAAGTAAGAGTCGGAATATTGATTATGCGTGATCTTCCGGTAGGATTCCTTGAAAGGATTGTCATTGCATAGATTGAGTGCTAGTGCAGTCCTACAATAAACACTTATTGGAGACAGCGTGGCGCGAAAACGAGTTAATAGATTAATTTCGGATTCTTGAAATCTTCGTAATTTTATAGGATTCAATTTCCAGCATGCATGCATGCATCGAACCCTAACAACGATCTGACCTTTTTTACACGTACAAGTCAATGCCACAAAACTGCTTGTAAAACTCAGATCACCTTGCTTTTGCGTGATTTTTTAAAAGAAATCTTTCTAAACCAACATTAAATCACATCCCACCTCTGTGCTAGCAGTGAGTTCTGACGGATCCAAAAGTTTTGATATTAGATCTGTTGCTTAGGTTATATATAGGATTCACTTAAAATTACCATTAAAACAAATTTTATCAGTCTGGCTGATCTGACAGTTTTTGGTACATCTGTGGTGCAAGAAATACAGGCTTGATTTCGTATATAGATCATATCCATCACAATCATGGATCCAATAGTTTTTGGCACATTATTAAATATATGGATTCAAGACATACCGTAGGTTCTATCAACAAAACTCTGAAACAGCATGGAAGAACAACAACAATTCTTTTCTGGTCTTTTATCATAGAAAGCATTTAATTCATTTCAACATGGCTCACAAATGTGTGGAACTGTTCCTTTCCTGGCAAAAAAAATAGAATCTAACCATTGATTATTTAAGCTAATTATTTAACATGGCATGAAGAATTATTTATCTGAACCAATAACTATTTCTTTAATTGCTCCATTTTCAACCTATGATTTTTTCCGAGCAAATGTGTTAAAGCATATTGGATTGCAATAAGCATTTTTTCTTTCAGACAAATTCTGACTACTAGCCCTGGTTACTCATTTAGATTCAGAGATTTAGTAAATAATGTAAAAGAAATAAACAACATTTTGATGGGGCTACATAAAAAGGAATGTTAGCAGCACAGTCCCTGTAATATATCCCCTATAGGCCAGGTACCTATGGATTTCTTGGGTAAGCATAGCCAAGAAATTCATATTCATCTCATGTTTCACAAATATCCAAATCCAATTCAATAAGTATGGCCCATCTAAAGCAGTAACATTTAGGCTTTTTAAACCTAAAATCCTAAAACACTAATTTAGAGAGTAAGTCTTATCGAACTCCACTGTACTTACAGTACTTGAAATAAATATACTTGTAATATAAGAATGAAATGATTTGTAAAAACACGTAGTTAAAAGCATGAAAGTGGTGTTATATGTATTTCTAGAAGTTCTCCATATAATATGAAATATATTTCTATAGTTTTTCAAATGAATCTGTCCATCATTGGAAAGCAATTGTGAACAAATTCAGTTGTTGAAAAAGATGAGTATATATGTGAATTTTTGTATCTATTTACAGTATTAAATAATTATGCAATTTTTATTTCAATGAAATCCTGATAAATATATTTACATGTATATTATGGTGACAGCCACAATACTTAATTTAGAAATTTTATATAGCAGTGTTGAACATACTAGATAGTAAGTTCAAGAAATAAAATTGAATATATTTCTAAGTAAACATGCATATGATTGGGCTGTTAAATATTTTTGAAATAAATTTGACTATGGCATGCATGGAAAAAAGAAATATAATTAATAGATTTTATTGCTCTCGTTTTTAAATCTTTTTCTCATATTTAAAATTAATAGTGTGTGATTTGTTAGATTTCTGGAAAGAAGGCAGGAAGAGACACAAACTGGAATCACAAGAAACAATGTTTTATGGTTATGTAACAATTTGTGCTGGATTCATCTGCATGTGAATCAGACATTTCCCTTTGTTCTTTTCCATCACTCTATGCTTTTGAACTTCTGTGATGACCTTTCAGTAAAGATATACTTTAAAGTTACCATCCTTTGAAAAATACAGGAACAGTTTCTCTGTTAAATCTAGTTCGCAATTCAAGTTTCTCCATAAAATCCTTTGTATAATAAAAAAAAATCCGTTTTTGTTTGATTGAGTTGCATGTCTGAATTCATGTTTTGGAAAGATATTGTCGCTTCCTCCCTAAAAAGGCTTGTTACAAAACTGGAAATATGAGCTGTATAGATATTACTGAAAGGAAGATCATTCCTATACTGACAATGTATAAGCTAACATATGAAGTATGAAATGTTTGTATTACACACCTAACACTGACTTTGGCAACACATACAATTATCAATTCATAAACTGTTAATTGATTTATGCCATTTGTTCATGTGGCATCTGTTCATTGAGATGGCTCTGTCTTAAACTTCGGCTTCCAAACATTTTACTGGCGGTTCAGACTTGACTTCCACTTCTTCCTTTTTCCCATTCTTTAGGCCCTGCTCTGGAGGTTGGTTTTTTGCATTTAGTTCTTTGATGTTCTTGGTTTCTATTTCATCTTTCTTCCCTTTGCTTGAAAATAGAGATGTTTTCTTGTATCTTTCATCAAATTGAAAAACAAAGTTGATTAACAATTAATTGGCATGCATATAACATACTGTACAAAAATTCTAGAAATGAAAGCCATTATTGTATTATATATTATATATATTTTATGTATAGATTTTATATATGAAAGCCTTTTCATATGCTATGATAGAAACAAGGTTTTACCATAACCACTCTAATTTTTTTTATTAAGAGATGGTAGAAGAAATATTTACTCACTGCCACTGCACTGTTGCAGATTTTTCTATCAGAACATACGTTATACATTCATATATAGTATGCCTTACTTATATTTATGCTGCATCAAGAAAACATGAATAAATATATTTAATGATTAAAACTTGTCTAGTTGGTGACTTTAAAACATTCTACTGGTATATACAATGAGAAGAATGCCCAAGTCATGTTACATATGAAAAGAGAGCATTTAGCATCCAAATATATGTTGCTGGTAGAAATGCAAGCATAGCAAAGCAACAAGTATACTTACTTTTTGATATAGCAGACAGCTAAAACCATTGCTGCTGCACAGAAGAAGAGGGCAAGAACCAGAAGCACAATAGGTACAGCTGGAAAGAAAAAAGAAGTAACTTTGAAATCTTGGAGACTAAACAATCTTTTTTTAATCTCTGGTGGCCGTATTAATCAATGTTTTCTAGAAGAAAACTCGAAGTGGGTTTCTCCAGTGTTCATAGATGAGACTCCAATGGCAAAAGAACTAACACCATTCTCCAGAACTGATTGGATGAAACAAGAAAGTCCAGTTGCCTCATGAAAAAGCATCTTTGGGATAACTATAATCTGGATGACTGAAAATCTCCATAGACATTTAACCATTTGATACATTCATATCTAAGCAATAGATGGCTACCCATCAGTAATACTTTTCAAAAATACCCATATATACTTGCAAACAAACCCATCAACAGCTGAGCTAATTTTTAAATCAAACTACCATGAAAAATGTGCAACAGGGTCGCAGAAACAGCCAGCAAGTGCCCATGCATGCACATCCTCACTTGCATGAGCAGCGGGCATATGCACGTCTCCATTTAAGTGAGCGCAGGCAAACATGCCTGCTACTCATGCAAATGGAGCTGTATGCGCGTGCACGTGCTTGCCAGCCGCTCATGCGGAACCATCCCCCCTCTTCTCCCCCCCCCCCGGCCAATCCGCAAAGCCGGAAACATTGGAAGAATTCTGTCTGGCTTAGAAGGTTCTTTCTTCTTTAGTCAGAATTGCTTACTGTGAAAATACTAGTAACAAAACATCTCTTTCCTGAAGACAAAGGTATTCTTTTGAACATGCACAACACAAAAACAAACCTACAGCTAACAAATCCATACCCATATCTAAATAGGCCAGGAGAACAATTGTTCCTATTTTCAATTATCAGTGCCCTCTGTTAGAGAGCCAGTTTGATCTAGTGGCTAGAAGCTAGAAGCCAGAGGACTGTGAGTTCTAATCCCACCTGAGGCTTGCAAACCAGCTTAGTGACCTTAAGCCAGTCACTCTCCCTAGCCCTAGGAAGTAGGCTATGGCAAACCACTTCTAAAATCTTGCCAAGAAAACTGTAGGGATTTGTCCAGGAGTCAACATAACTGACTGAAAGACATCTTCCCTCCTCCCCATATCCTCTATTATGCCAGAGAACTTTCTTACACTTTCTGTTGAGTCCTTGGCGAAAAGCAGACACGAGAAGCAGTTGGAGTTCTCAGTTTTCTTTATTCTGCGTTCAGCTTACAAGTAGATGGCTTCATGGCTTCCCAAACGCTCGCAGCCTCTTAGATAGGCAACTCCCGGGTAATTGTGTTACTTTTCCCGCGCCAGCACCCGCGCATGCGCATGGCGCTGGCGACAGCCTGTCTGGTCCCGGGCAGCTTTGCACCTGCCCGGGACTGCCTGCAAACGCCCGAGCCGTTTGCAAGGCTCGGGACATAACACCCCTTTCCCCCGGGCTAAAACTATTACCAACATATAATCATTTACTTTATACAATGTTCCGTTCCCCAGTGCTCCCACTGTTTGCTGGCTTTTGCCTTGCCAGCAATGTTATATAATCCTCTAGGTACTTAGGAGATTTCTTTGCTCTCTGTGACCTTCTCAGCTCTGGGTTACTAGCATGAGTTCCCTGACTGGAGTAGGCGTGGATGCCTGGTAGTTGGGTAGGCTCATAGAATTCTTGTTCGGAGCTCTCGCGGAACCCTGGGATGGGCCGTTTGTGGCTCCATCAGTGGAGATGGGCAGCAGCTCGTGCCCTTCCCTTTGCTCCAAAGGGTCCCCCTCCCCCCCTGGAAAAGACCCAGGAGTCTCATCTGAAAGGTCCCGCCTAGGGCGGAGTTGGTCGATGTGCCGACGCAGGACACGACAGTTGTCCAGGGCTACCTCGTAGGAGAGAGGACCTGTGACCCTGGAAATAGAAGCGGGGACCCATGTATGACCAGGCCCGTAATTGCGAGCCCAAACCGGGGCACCCACAAGTAGTTGTCTAGGTGCCCTAGGATGTGAGGTAGATGAAGGCAGTCTGTCTGGATGCAACCGGTCAAGTTTAGTAGTAAGTTGATGCCCCCAACGAAGTTCAGCTGGGCTTCTCCCTGTAGAAGTGGACGGTGTGGTGCGATAAGAAAGGAGAAAGTCAGCCAACCTGTGATGCCAGTCCCCGTAGGTGAGTCTTTTCAATGCGTCCTTTGTGATGTGCACCATACGTTCAGCCATACCGTTGGTGGACGGGTGGAAGGGTGCAGACGTGGCATGATGAATCATGTTTGCCTGTAAGAAAGCTTGGAATTCGGAGGAAGTGAATTGAGGGCCGTTGTCGGACACAATGACATCTGGCAGCCTGTGTGCAGCAAAACCCCCCCTCAGTACCTGAATAGTCTTTGCAGTGGTGGTGGATGAGACAGGTACAACCTCAAGCCATTTCGAATGGCTGTCAACAAGGACCAAGAAGAACTGGCCCTGAAAGGGTCCAGCGTAGTCAATGTGCACCCTAGACCATGGGGACTGTGTTTCCTCCCATCTATGCACGGAGCTTGGGGCATCTCTGGGCGAGATCGTTGGCACAGGTGGCATGCATGCACCTTAGCCTCAATATCTTTATCTAAACCAGGCCACCACAAGTGGCTGCGCGCAAGAGCCTTCATACGAACAATGCCAAGATGACCCTCGTGGAGGGATTCTAAGACCCTAGTCCTCATTGAGGTGGGAATGACAACTCTGTTTCCCCAAAGCAGACAACCCTGAGAAAGGGACAGCTCGTTCCTTTTGGACCAGAAACTCTGAAACTCAGGACTAGTGCAGTGCTCAGGCCAACCAGACAAAACCCAGGAACGGACACGTGAAAGTGTGTGATCTGTACCTGTTTCAGCGGCAACATCCCTGGCACTAAGAGGGAGCTCGGGCAAAGCTTGGATTGATAGAATGTTGACAGCTGGCACAGGGTCAGCTTCTACTACTGGCAGGGGCAATCTACTGAGGCCATCAGCATGGCCCATTTCTTTTCCAGGCTTGTGGAGTAAAGAAAAATCATATGCAGACAAAAAAATAGACCACCTAAGCATTCTAGGGGAAATGATTTGGGGAGTCTGCTTACGTGTGGTAAACAGTCCCAGCAGAGGCTTATGGTCAGTGAAGACCGTAAAGTGCCTGCCATATAGAAAGTCATGGAATTTTTTAATTCCAGCAACAACAGCCAGAGCCTCCCTGTCTATCTGAGCGTAGTTGCGCTCAGCAGAAGACAATGTTCTGGAGTAATATGCAACAGGAACCTGAGTTCCATCAGACCTGAGGTGAATCAGGACAGCTCCAACCCCGTAAGGGGACGCATCACAAGCGATGCACACAGGAAGGGACTCGTTGAAATGTGCAAGTACACTGTTAGAAGTGAGCAAAGCCTTGACTTTGTTAAAACAACCCTCATGCGTTTGTGACCACTGCCACACTGCTTGCTTGTCTAGTAGCCTGTGAAGAGGCTCAGCTACACTAGCTTTGTGTGGAAGAAAAGAATTGTAGAAATTCAGGAGGCCCAGGAAGGCCTGAAGTTCGGCCTTGGACTTTGGCCTAGGTGCTTCTAAAATAGCAGTCAGTTTGGATTCAGCAGGGTGAATCCCAGCAGCATCAATTTTGAACCCCAGAAATTCAGTAGAAGGCACCCCAATCATGCATTTGTCTTTTTTTGAGCTTGAGGCCTGATTTCCTGAATCTTAACAGAACAGCCCTTAGCCGTTCAGCTAGAATGTGTGTGGAGTCTCCTGCAATCAAAACATCATCAAAGTAGGGGCAAACCCCTGGTATACCTCGTAGTGTGTTTTCCATTACGCTTTGGAAGATCCCAGGAGCGATATTCACTCCAAACTGTAGCCTTTTTACTTTAAAGGCCCCTCTGTGGGTCACAATAGTCTGAGCTATAGCAGCATCATCATCAACAGGCAGCTGTTGATACGCTTGAGCTAGGTCAAGCTTTGCAAAAACGCGCCCCCTCTTGAGGGAGGCCAGAATATGACTGACCACAGGAACAGGATAGGCATGTTGCTGCAATGCCTTATTAAGAGTGCATTTGTAGTCAGCAAAAATGCGAATGTCCCCATTTGCCTTTAGAGGCGTGACAATGGGGGTCTCCCAAGGGATGGAATCAACAGGTTCTAGAATTCCCTGTTGGATCAGTTTGTCTAACTCAGTGTCAATTTTACTCTTTAAAGCAAAAGGGACCCTTCTTGCTTTAATTCTAATGGGAGTGACAGTGGGGTCTAGCTTTAAGGACACAGGGGGTCCTTTGAATGTGCCCAGCTGGGGGCTGAAAACATCTGCAAATTCTTTGCAGACTTACTGTAGGTCGAGTGTTTGTAAGCTGTTGAGTCCTGTGACGTGTATCCCCAGGGCCTCAAACCAATCGAGTCCTATGAGACTCGTTCGTTCACCCCCTACTACTAATAAGTCTAGTGGACCTTCAAAACTCTTGTATTGCACGTTAAGGGTGGCCCCCCCCTTAACACACACTCTTGAATTTTGAAAATCTGTTAACACAATGTCAGAAGGCCTTAACTTGGCCTGAGTTCCACTACCGGAACAAATCTTCCTAAATGTATGCAATGAGATGATTGAAAGGGCAGACCCTGTGTCCAGTTCCATAGACAATGGAACCCCTTGTAGCTTCACCTTGAGTGACAGCTTTTTCTTAAAGGGCTTGTGTGTGCCTGTCCTAAGGATGCTTCTTCGCGAAGCGCAAAACCCTACCCTATTCTGGCTGGGGAATCTGGTACCTTTCAGGCGCAGTTCTTCCTGAGGTTGTACCTTTCGTCGGCCCAGACACACAGCTGCAATGTGTCCTTGTTTGCCGCATGCCCGGCAGGTAGCGGAGCGGAACTTGCAGTCGGTTCTCCTGTGGCGACCTCCACAGCCGATGCACTTGAGCGGAGCTGAAGAGCTTCCCTTCTGTTTTTCTTCCTTCGTGGGATAGAGACGGTCGACTTCCTCGTCCGGATCCTCCTCGGAGTTTCTTTGGACGTCTTCCTGGTGCACGGATGCAACCTCTGGACTGTTTCTGATCGGCCGCATGTTCTTGACAGCGCCGCCTGCTGCTTCTTCTGCAGTGACTTCCCTTAAGGCATCTTGGTAGGACAACTCTTCTTTAGCGAAAAGTCTCTGTTGTAGATCTCGATGCCTTAACCCGCACACGAATCGGTCCCTCAGTCGTTCTTCGAGGTCTTTGAACTCGCAGTGCTTGGCGGCCTTCCGTAATGCGGTGATGAATTCTTTGGCCGACTCACCGGGCCGTTGATCCCTCTGCTCGAAGGTGTGGCGCCATGCGATGATGGACATCTTGGGGTGGAAGTGCTCCTTCAGTAGCTTCTTCAGATCTGCGTAGCTGACAGACTCTACTGGAACAGGTGCTGCAAGATTTTCTGCGATGTCGAAGGCGTCTTGACCGCAAACGCAAAGCAGGGTGGCAGCCTTCAAGCTCTCTTCCCTCACTTGGTTTGCCTTGAAGTAGTTCTCCACCCTGGCTACGTAGGACTCCCACCGCTCTGGATGTGAGACGTCGAACTCCGAAAGCCTTCCAATTTTTGCCATCTTCAGGAGACGGGTCTATCAGCCAGCCTACCCCCGAATGTGCACTGGATTGGCAGGTAGCTGCCGAGTCGACACCGTTCCGCCGCTCAGGACTCACTTGGGTAAGCTTACACTTCTTCCTTTCCAGGCAGTGTAAGGCAATCCCACCTTCGTCGCCAGTGTTGAGTCCTTGGCGAAAAGCAGACACGAGAAGCAGTTGGAGTTCTCAGTTTTCTTTATTCTGCGTTCAGCTTACAAGTAGATGGCTTTATGGCTTCCCAAACGCTCGCAGCCTCTTATATAGGCAACTCCCGGGTAATTGTGTTACTTTTCCCGCGCCAGCACCCGCGCATGCTCATGGCGCTGGCGACAGCCTGTCTGGTCCCGGGCAGCTTTGCACCTGCCCGGGACTGCCTGCAAACGCCCGAGCCGTTTGCAAGGCTCGGGACATAACACTTTCCAAGATACTTTTGAGGTTTTTCAGGTATACAAAGTCACTGAGTGTTAGTCACTCATTTCCATTTTCTGAATGTTTTCAAAGCATTCTTAGAAATGAAACTGGTACAGGAGGCTGACTAAGGAGTCACTTAACATATAACAACTGCTAATTTAATATTAATAGTAAGTAGTTGGAGTGACAGAAGTGACAATAACATGGCCCAAATCTTAGGGAAAACATAAATTTTCTCTTGGATTTCACCTTTTTTATGTAGGCCCTAGCTGAATTACAAAGAGTTTTCTAGTTGAGAGGATGAAAAAAGCCAATTAATAATACTTTCTTGTACTGCTTTGGTATATTTAAAGCTCTTAATGTACATTGTCTACTAATAATTCTTGCCAAATATATATCTTGTAAGTCAGGTAGCTAGAAAGTATGGAAGAGAAATGCTGAAGCTGAGGGAAAACAGCAACCTAATATATCCAGATTTAAGATTTGGATGAGAAACTCTTCAGCCACTGTGTTAGAGCAACTCTTAATTGCCTTATTTGGATTGTAGAATTGGTGGCTTGACACATGTCAAAAGGAAAAGACTACATAGGTTGAGAGCTTTTGCCAATGATTTGGTTGTGACATTATCTCAACCGATAGATTCGGTAAGGGATTTGGTGGAAATCATAACCCAGTATGGGAAAGTTTCTGGTTTTAAGGTAAATAATAATAAGACTAAAATACTTTCGAAAAATATGTCTATGAAGGAAAAAGATATGTTAGCTAAATTAACAGGTTTTGAAATAATGAAAAAGGTTAAATATTTGGGAGTTTACATCACAGCTTCTAATGTTAAGTTGTACAAAAATAATTATGAGACATTATGGGTAAAAGTGCAAAAGGATTTGAATGATTGGAAAAAATTACAGTTATCTTTGTTGGGGAGAATTTCAGTGGTTAAAATGAATGTTCTTCCAAAGTTTCTTTTTTTGTTTCAAATGATACCTATCTTGAAAAAAGATGCCAACTTGGAGGAATGGCAGAAGGGTATTAACAAGTCTATTTGGGCAGGGAAAAAACCAAGAGTTAAGTTTAAGATTATACAAGATACACGGGAAAGAGGAGGACTTAAGGCGCCTAATTTAAAATTGTATTAGGATGCGGTGGCTTTAACGCTGATTAGTGATTGGCTTAAATTAACAAATAAAGATATACTTTTTCTTGAGGGATGGGATTTATTATACGGATGGCATGCATATTTAATTTATAATAAAAAAGTAGATCAGGTTTTTAAATCTCATATTTTAAGGAACGCTTTATTACGTGTCTGGAAGAAGTATTATTATAGGTTAAATTATAAAATACCAATTTGGGGGATTCCCGGACACGTGATAAAGGGGGTATCTAGAGGAGTGAATTTGGATAGGATTTCTTATAAGGAATTACTTAGTTTGGTAGGGGAGGATTGGCAATTAAAATCTTTAGCTGAGTTGAAGCAAGAAAATATTGTACACTCTTGGTTTCAATATAATCAATTGTTAGTTAGGTGGAGTTTAGATCAAAAGGTTGGTATTATTTTAGAGGATGCGAATTTGGTAAAACAGATTAAAAATCAAACTCGAGCCCACATAAAGAGAATTTATAATGTCTTAATAGAATTGGATTCTGAAACGGAGTTAGTTAAAGATTATATGGTAAAATGGGCACAAAATTTTCAAGAGCCGATTCTATTGGACACATTGGGAGACAATTTGGGTTAGAAATGTAAAATTTACTCAAGCTCAAAATTTGAGAGAAAACTTTTATAAAATGTTTTATAGGTGGCATTTGGATCCCCAAAAGTTGTCTTGTATGTATCCCAACTTGGAGCCCAAATGTTGGAAATGTGGTAGTTTGGATGCAACTTACTTTCATATTTGGTGGACTTGTAGAAATAAAAAAGCTTTTTGGATTAAAATTTGGTGGAACATTCAAAATATTTTTAAAAGAAAGATAAAGTTTACTCCTCAACTATTTTTGTTGGGTAATATTGTAGATTTTGATGTTAAGGAAACTAATTTGATGTTGAATTTAATAACAGCAGCAAGGCTATTGGTAGGGCAATATTGGAAGAAGGATTGTTTGCCTACTATAGAAGAATGGACGCTTAAAGTGTCAAATTTAGCAGAAATGGCTAAGATTTCTGCTTATTTGAAGGATCATTCACAAGAAAGATACATTTCGGTTTGGAGAAGATGGATAGATTATACTCAGAATAAATATAGGACTAAAAAGTTCCATTTATTTTATGAATAAATTTTAGAATATTATTATTATTATTATTAATAATAATAGTTTAGTATAGTGGAATTTTTATTATATTGTATTGTTTAGGAATTAGGATTTTAATTTGTTTATATGATTAAGTTTATTTGCAAATTGTTTATTCTGTGTTAAAGGGCGTTAAAGCGCATTATATTTGTTTATCTACATAGTTGGTTAATGTTAGCTAGATTATGATTATTATATTTTTTACCCTGTATTCAGCTCTGGGAAGTGGGGGAGGGGGGAGGGGGGAAAGGGGAGTGGGTTTGGGCTATATTTTGTAATTTTTGTAAAACTTTTTAATAAAAAAAAAAGGAAAAGACTATATTTCTGGTTATAATGGTTTGATTCATCTTGCCACCCCAAAAGGACATCTTTTAAGTTCCTCTCTAAGCCAGCAAAAATTTTAAACCTGAGGTTTTCCTTTGTCTTCTGTTTAACACAGAGATGCCCAACCTTTTGGGTACCAGGGACCGGTTATGTGGAGAGAGGTTTTTCCACAGACCAAAGGGTGTCTGGTTTTGTATGTTGAGTGCATCCCGTGGATGGGGCTTTGCTTGTTTGTGCGGACCGGTTGATGGCATGCTGTGGCCCGGTCTACGGAAGGGGGTTGGGGACCCCTGCTCTAACATAAAACCATGACATTCACAGCACTGAGTATGTCTATTACCTCCAAATGGGACACCCTCATTTTTAAAGGCAGTTCGTTTTTCAGTGAAAAGCCGATTTTCCTTCTCGGGAGTTGGTTCGGATGGTAAAGTTTCTGTTACACATATGATGCGATACTTTGGGGACTTTGGAGTTTTTAGTAACGGAGTTGTGTCAAACCCTCTGGTGGTATCCTGAAATGAGGCTGTTACGGTGGATTTCATCTCAGTGGAACTGTCTGGTAATGCAACTGTGCTTTGTTCCGGGATGCATGAATTAATCCACGTATCTGAAAAGAGGACGAGAAAACAATGAAATGAGATTTGTTGATGCTATTGTATGCAATATTTTTTATAAAAAACAGAATGCAGGTGACATCTTACTAAGCGTTATTCTACATAGCTAAAAGGAAGTACTGTAGAGTAATAGAGCAGTCCTATTAGATTACTCAGAGAGATCTGATGTTGAAGTATCTGTCAGATCTAACTCTTTGCTAGGTTTATCCCAGTAAGATGAAGTTCTGGAAGAAGCTGCTGTCATAATTCTTCCTCCCTGTTCCACTAATTGTTTCTAAGTGGGAGAGGATTCATTTAGATTTGTATAAAGTAATCTCATTTAGTTTCTGCATTTGGGTATGATGGATATGCAGATGTTTGAATTCAGTGGGCCTGTCTGACAAAATGACATTTAGTGGCGAGAAAAATAAGGTTTACACTTAGGCAAGAAAAATCAAATGCATGGTTATAGAATAGGCTCAATAGTAGTAACTGCGAGAGGATTCTTGAAGTCCTAGTGGAATATGAACCAGCAGTATGCTGCCAACAAAGTGCTAGGCTGCATTAGTATAGAATCAAGATCATATGAAGTTTTAAATACCACTTTATAATGCCTTGGTAAGACCTTTATAATGCCTTGGTAAGAATATTGAATCCAGTTTTGGTCTCCATAATAATAAAAAAATATTGAGACTCTAGAAAGAGTGCAGAGAAGAACAACAAAGAAGATTAGGGGATTGGATGCTAAAACAGATGCTAGAATTGAGTATGTCTAGTTTAATGAAAAGAAGGACTAGAGGTGACATGATAGTGTTCCAATATCTAAGGGGTTGCCAGAGAGTTGTCACTCTATTCTCCAAAGCACCTGAAGACAAGAAGAAATGAATGCAACCTAGTGAAGGAAAAAAGCAAACTAAAACTAAGGAGAAATTTCCTCACAGTTAAAATAATTAATCAGTGGAATGACTTGCCTCCAGAAATTGTTTTTAAGAAGAGACTGGGCAAGCATTTGTCTGAAATGGTAGAGGGTTTCCTGCTTAAGCAGGGGGTTGGACTAGAAGACTTCAAGGTCCCTTCCAACTCTATTATTCTGTTATTCACTTAAATTTGCAATTTTTACTGTTGGGCATTTTTGATATTGGAAAGAATCAAATGTCAGACTGTAATTGAGTCACTGAGGGAAGAATGCTATGGTGCCATGGATAACGTCCTGGCCACTATAAGATTGTGTTCTAAATCTCTCTGTATATAATATCTCTCCCTCCCTCCCTCTCTCTCTCTCTGTCTCATCAGTGTTTCACTTTGTTGCTTTTCCAATACAAAATTCAGTAGGTCGATGTTGACAAGATTAGAAAACTGAGGGGGCTATCAGAAAAAATAGAGGCAGCAGCAAGTCCAAGAAAATAAAGATGATGGTCGCAATTATATGTTTGAAGCCCCCACCTCACCAGTGCACAATAAAAGAAAGAGGATTTTAATCACATGGTTTAGCCACTATATTGATTATTTTTTACTCTCTGGTTATTGGTTAAAAATAACACAGTAAACTAGTGACTCTGCTTCCTTCCTCAGAGGGGTAAATAAAAACTAAGTGTGCTTTCTCAAGACCATAGAAAGCTAAATGGCTTTGTGTGGCATATTTATCTTGATACCTTGTTTCCTTTCTTAAAATATGCAATTAACCAGACTAGTAGGAAATTGAAGTTGGAGACCAGAGTGATTTTCTATAGAAATAAGAGAAGAAAGTATATGTCCCAGTTTCTACCGTGAGTTCTTGATGACAAATATACTGTATGTACAGGAGAGTAGAATCATGCACATTAATTGCATCTGAACAATTAACAGTGCATTTAGTTTGATCCTCTGGCCAGAAAAAACAATGATTTTAAAAGTCACCAATAGCATTGGTAGAAAAATCTCGATTTAAATGATCTTGTGGTAAGGTGTATCCCAACGTATTATGTATAAAGGACTACTGAGATTAAATAATTAGAGACTAGTGATTATTGATCAACTAGTGAGACCAAAAAAGAATTAGATTGATTAAATAATTTAAAGATCAAATTTCAATTTTTTATATTGCTTGAAAACTATTATAATACCCAAATGACTATACTATCTTAATATTTGTAGTGATGGAAGGAAATGACCCTTGCACTGATCTTGATGTCAGACTCTGACAGGAAATCTGATGACACATTTTAATGAACTGAATAGGATGTAAATGAAAGCTGTATTGTGATATTGCTATGAGTCTTTGTTGAAAAGCCAAAAGGATCATTGGGTTCTGCATTATACTATAAACATGCCTGTTACCATGATCAGCCATGGCAAAAAATATAGTTGTTTATTTGCTTGTTATTAAAGCAGACTCCTTTAAAAGAATTATGTGTCTTTAAAACAGAGCTTGTAGTTTAAAAATTAGTATTAGGATCATGTCTAGATTGCCCTTTTGAAATAGATAGACCAAAACATTCAGTACCCTAATATTGAATCATTTTCTTCACATATTTCCCTATAAGAGTTCTTAGGAGAACTGTGTTCAATAAGGCTGGGCATATGTCCTATGAATTAAATTATGGCCTATCTTGCAATTTTCTAGTGGCATATCTTCCATGTTTCAAGCAAGTGTCATCCAGTAAAACTCTTTATGGTTTTTCTCTTTATTTGGAGTCAAACAGAGTTTTTTTTAAACACTTCCTGAGATCTCAGAAAGTACATTACCACCCTAGATTGTCCAAGTGACCAAATTCTAATTCTAGAGAGGTACTGAAAGCCCCATAATCATTTCTGATTAAAAGATGTACTTCTCCATCAATTGATGCCATTGAGATAAATATGGGTAGAATTCCAGATGACAACATAGGAATTCCAGGTTCCTTGCAAATATAAATCAGATTACAATATTCTTTATTCTGGTCCATTTGATTATTTTAGAGGGCAAAATGTTGTGCAGTTTTCTTTTTTTTTTAAATGTTCTTTCATGAGATTTATTTATTTCTCTGATTTAAAAGCCACCAATTCTACTCAAAGTGACAAATATTTGGAAAAAAATATTAAATTAAGACTACTACTGTAGTGAAACCAGTGCTTTTTTTGTCATAGAACACACCGGAAGGGAGTTCCGGCACCTTTTTTCAACTGATTTTCCAAGTTTTAAAAGTAACTTTTGAAAATTTGATGTTTGGTCCACATGGACTTGAATCGCCCTGTCGAGCATAGCAGATCGGCGGAAAAATCACTGAAACGGTGCATCTGGGCTGCTTGTGTGTCGATTCCGATGCATGCATACTTCGTCCATGCTGGTTGTGATGCTGCTGCTCGGCTTGTGGCACTGCTCAGCTTGTGATTGGTCGTGTGGTCGCGCACTGAGTGTTTACTGTGGGTGGCGACCGTTATGTTTCATTGCACAACTGACATGTGTGGGTGTGTGTACAGTGATTAACTATGTGCTAAAGGTAAATAATTTCTTTATTTTAAAAAATAAATTTTTAGTGTAAAATTTACTATGAACATTTGCTTTAAATACAATAAATATATATATTAAAAGATTAACAAGGTGTGAACTCCAGCACTTTTTTTCTTACAAAAAAAGCACTGAGTGAAGCTAATGATTAGCAAGCACTATGATAGAGATGCTATGTGTCTTTATAGATTTTGTATCTCTGAGAGAGTATGGCCAAGTGCAAATCCCCAAAAAGTGCATTCTCTAAGTTGGGAGCAAAGCAGGTGAAGGAACTGTCCTAAGAAGAGAAGTCAACTTCAGAAGAATTTCTTGCAAATATTAATGATGATCCATCCCTAACCTTAATACAATATAACTTTTTGAATTAGAGAACAATATATTTTGGGCACACCTAAAGCAATTTAAATTTCATAATGCTCTTTCATGCTACAAACTTTGACTAAGGGAAAAACAAGTAAACTTGTCAACTGTGGCTTAGCTGACTTGTTAATAGTTTAACTTACAATTTCTGAGTTTCTCAAGCTCTCCAGGACGCTGTTGTGCAGTGAATTGGTTTATATTGGAATCCAAGAAGTTGGCCACAATCTTCTAGCAGTATGGAAATCTTCACAAATATTATTACTTTAATTCTTTCATGAGGGATTTTGGTGAAAAATATTATTACAATCCATATCTCATCCCACTTACCTGAAGAATTATAACAATAAACACGAGCTTTCCTGTCTAGTTTCATTCTCCAGCTGGAAATCCCAGTTTTATTCTGACCGCATTTTTCATTTGGAGTTACACGAGAAATTACAGCATAGCCTTCTGCTACCCAGCCAAAACTAGAGTGAAAAGCATTAATTTCTATTAGCTATATGACCTTAGCAACAATGAAGTGTCACTATTCAAAGTTTATATATACAGTACTATACAGAACAGTGTTTCTTGGCCTTGGCAACTTGAATATGTGTGGACTTCAATTCCCAGAATTTCCCAGCCAGCATTCTTCCCCAATATTATTCTTCAGTTTTATGATTCCACCTTCCTTGTTCAGTTCTGAAGCTAATAGCATCATATATGAGCTTACTTTCTCAGCCTACTATTTTTTTACTCAGAGGGAAATGATTATTTTCAGGGTTAAAGTTTGAAGTCCACAGTAAGTGGTCTCCTCCCATAAACCTTTGGCTGTGGTTTTCAGAGTCTCTCCAAAAGTTATAGGTTTTAATGTTTCAAAAGGGGAAAGCTATGAAATACATGGTAAATCATAATTAGTGCTATTAATTTTAATTAAAATAAAGTCAATAGATATTTGTTTTTGTCTTGACAATTCATTTTCATTTGGGGGAGTTTGCACAGGTCACTTTTCTCAAGTGCCATGTGTAATCCACAGCCTGAATCATTTGTGCAAAAAGTAAAAAAGATTTAAAAATGTCCAGGTTAGGTGCAGTGAAAAGCAACCCTCAGTGACACAGGATGATTCATCCTTTGGAAAACTGAGGAGAATTTCGAGAAGTTTGTGATATTCACAAACAATTTCTGTTTCAAATTTCAAGGTGGCAAAAGTTGCACATTATTAGATATACATTTAAGTGCACCTCAAGTGCTTATCTGAAGCCACACTCCTTCATATTTATACACAAATAATATACATGATGGTTTTCAGTCTATCCATATGAATCTGGGAGAAAAAAGGAAATAAATTTATTTTGGGAATAAATAACCAACTTTTTCTGTTATAAAGAATAAGAGGGGCTAATTAATTTTTAATTGTTTGCATGCTTCCAATCTTAATTTATTTCTGAGTAATAATAATAACTTTATTTAAAAAATGGCATGAAAAAAGGTAATCCGTATGCACGTTAGCATAAAACAGTAAAAGTAAAGGTTGGAAAGATTTTCTGTACCTGCAAGTTTCAAAGCCATGCTTCCAAGCAGCTTCAATCTTGGATTTTTGTGCTAGTGTTAATCCCAGCTGCCTACAAACTGTTTTTGCTTCAGCAAAATTAAAATTGGTTCCATTCTTGGCTGCAACAAGCGCTACACCTGCAATTCTGCAGTTGGTCATGTAAATATCTGCAAATAAGCAGAAATATATCAAAGTGATTACTTATGGATATTTAATATTTACATGTTTATTTGCATTTCAAAATATGTACCTTTACTCAGTACTAATTCACTAATATTCAAAGGAGTGATAGAGATCCCCTGCTATTACAGATGGTGGTGCTGCATACATCCAAGATATTTTAGCTATAGGTTTTTACTTATAGGATCCAATTGGTATAATGCTTAGAATAGCATTATAAATTCAACTGGTGGAGAGATTGTGGTCCAATACATTCCATTGGTATCCAGTTGGGGGAGATGGATTTGAACGTCAGACAAGGACAGGGAAGAACTGCTTTCAAACATCAGATTAATTTCCTAGAGACCTTGGTGTGGCATTTCTCTCTCTACCAAAACTGCCAAACACTATGGGATCTGGGAAGTGGGGTTGAGCAAACACAATTTGGTGTGGGCCAAACCATGTATCCAGCCTTGAAAAATCCTGGACAATGCCCCTTTTGGGGATTTACAAAGTAAGCTGGTGAAACTTTTGAAGACCCCCTTTGATTACCAAAGATTGATGAAAGATCAAATCTGCAACAACATTGGAATGATTTAAAGGTTAAGACCATTTAAGAACAAAAAGAAGAAATATAAAGTGGGACTATTTGATCAGGGATAAAGTGTTTGATATCTTGGGAAGTTGTAATTTCTAACATCTAATGGACTTTTTGCTGAACCAGGACTGAAAAAGATAAAAAATTATGGATTACATATAAATAACAGTTAAGCTATGGGAAGAGGGTTTTTTTATTTGTAATTTTAAAAGAGGGTGAAAAGTTACTATATTAGCTTATGCTTGGTACTGTATGACAAAGGTTGAACGCCACATATCTTTATTATTGCTTTGTTTCTTTTTTCCTTTTTTGTTTTCCCTACACCTTTTGAACTTGTCTTTAACTTTTCTTTTTCCTTCTAGTTTATTTTATTTTAGTCTTTACTAAAAATGTCAATAACATTATTTTTTTTTAAAAAAAAGATTTGGAGTGGGTAATGAAAGGTCCAGACAGTCTGATGCATGAGAAACAAGGATAGTAAATTATTATTATTATTATTATTATTATTATTATTATTATTATTATTATTTGGGAGGGACCTTGGAGGTCATCTAGTCCAACCCCCTGCTCAGGCAGGAAACCCTATACCATTTCAGACAAATGGCTGTCCAGTCTCTTCTTAAAAACTTCCAGTGTTGGAGCATTCACAACTTCTGGAGGCAAGTCGTTCCACTGATTAATTGTTCTAACTGTCAGGAAATTTCTCCTTAGTTCTAGGTTGCTTCTCTCTTTATTAGTTTCCATCTGTTGCTTCTTGTTCTGCCTTCAGGTGTTTTGGAGAATAGCTTGACTCCCTCTTCTTTGTGGCAACCCCTGAGATATTGGAACACTGCTATCATGTCACCCCTAGTCCTTCTCTTCATTAAACTAGACATAGGGAAGAGGGTGCCAGAAAGAGAGAAAATTGGGTTTCCAAAGAAAGAGAATTAGGGGTTCTGTTTGTTTTGAACTCACATACACATTTCCCCCAACAAATCATCCTTAAAGAAATGCAACCTTCAGGGAAGAAAGCCCTTGACCAGTTTTGTCGTACAGCTTAGTCTAGTCCAGGGGTGGGCAACCTTGGCTCTTTTATGACTCGTGGACTTCAACTCCCAGAATCCCTGAGTCAGCCATGCTGAGGGGAAAGGGAGAGGTTTCCAAGCTGAGCCATGCTGGCTCAGGAATTCTGGGAGTTGAAGTCCACGAGTCATAAAAGAGAACAAGGTTGCCTACCCCTGGTCTAGTCTATGCATTCTAACTTCAGTAGGCTTAGCACTACTCTTAATTTCCTTCTATCCTTTCCAAATGAATCCTTCCTTTCCTCCAGTAATACTCAGTAATTTCTACAGCAAGTCTGTTGTCACTATCTCATAATGTCTTTCCAATATGATCAGTCAACAATGGCATCTCCACTGCTGACTGCCTGTTATAATAAAAATATAATTTTTCCAGTGAAGTTTTTATGACTAAATTGAATTTGTTGACAGCATGAAAATAATAATGAATTTAGACTTTCTAATACTTGCATATTTTAACACAAAGACATCCACAACAGTGGTGATACCTGAAAACTAAAACCATCCCTCAAAATACTATCACTAAATATATCCCAGAAGAATAGATCAAAAGGTTTGATGATTGAGACAAATTCTGAATGTAGGAAGAAGCAGACTTTTAGTATAAGAAACATTCTTTTTAAAAGTAAGTTGCTAATAGTTTTTATACAAAAGCAAAAAAGGTCCTTACTGTTCTCATCCTTAATGTTCTGTATATATATTTTCTCATCTCGCTATAAGATGAAACTACAGCATATTACCTAGCAGAACACGCATTCTGAATATCCAAGGTACTTGTTTTTGTAATATCAAATGTAATTATTTTTCATTTGGGAACTGTTTCTCTTTTCATTTGACATCTTATCCATGCCTCCTATCCCATCCATGCCTCCTAATTTGCTGCAGTCCTTCAACCACATGACAAAATTAGCTCTAGGCCATGAAAATTCCATCCTTATCTTAAACTGACATATTTTTGTTAGAAAGGAGACACTGAACCAACCAGTAAAGTATATTTGAATGAGCAAAAATAAATTCAATAAATAAAACTCATTCTGCACATTGCAACTAACTTTGCTAGTTTGCACAGCATCTTCTTCCTAATTGGTTTGCCAATTTGAGAAACAAAACTGGCTAGTGTTCTTCGTAATCTGAACAAATTGAGGCTCGATCATTTGCTACAACTATGCTAGAACCTTGGCCATTAAACTTTTCTTAGACTTTAAGGTGCCATAAACTTTTTTAAAATGTTTCTTGCTCTAAAATAAATTTTAAAAAGACCAATACTGTTGTTCCTGGAAATAACTGTGCTCCCTTCCCTACCTTACAATATTGCAATTTTTGTTCAAAAGATACCCTTCCTTGGTGCAATACAGAATATACTGAAAAACTAGCAGTTTATGGAAACTTACTTTTCAGAAGAATTACATCTTGTGTTATGAAGTTTGCCACACAGATTGAGAAGAAAAAAGAGACAGTTCTACCATGGAATGCCATTGTTGGTAACACCAAAGGGTTGAGAGATTCAGATTGTTGCTTTTCCTCTGATGTTGGGAATGCAGTGTGATGCTATATTACTCCTTGAACACGTCCAATATGTTCTTTTCTCATGAGTTGCTAAATAGCTTCTTCTTCTTTACTTCCTCTTTTATCACTTTGGTGTCAAGGATGCCAAACAGCCACTGACTATTTTACAAGCAAAGCTGAACTTATTGCTCTGCTCAAAAGCCATTCACTGACTAAGGTCACTATCTGAAAACACATGACAGCTCCCTCCCCTTCCCAACCTGTCATGGGCAGTCTGGAAAATACAATGAGTGCTGACTCAGAAAATATACATCTGAGGAAGAGAGATAACATAGTGTAATAGTCTTGTTCTTATAAACAGTGGGAAGATTTCCCAGTGTACCTCAGGTGGTTATCCTGTAATAGTTCCTGTTTAGTCACTTGCTGTTTGCTCATCCTTCATCCAACTCATGCAGCCGTTTACAAGAAAAAAGATATAACATGGGTTGGCTACTTGTGATGGAAGAATCTATCTATGCATTGAATCAGGATGTCTAAACTATTTTCAGAATGGATGTTGGATTAAAGCTGGAATGAATTTAATGACTTCAAGGAATATCTATTCCCATATTCTTGGACCTTAAGATGCCCCAGCAAAATGAGGCAAGAGGATTCCTACTCCAAAAAAGGTCTTTCCAAGTGTGGAAGGAAGGTTTGCCTAATATCCACATTATCCAGCTACTAGGACAGCGGTTCTCAAACTGTTTGATCCAATTAACCTGTTTTTTAGTTTTGAATGTCATTAAATGTACCATCAAACCAGACTGTTGTTTCACACAAGCATTTCAGTAGCATCAATCCAAAACTCAATCTTTGATTTACAAATAAAACGGTTCCCTTTACCCCCAGGATAAGCCCAAATTAACCTCTTAGTCTTAGAGGTAACTACTCCCAGTTTTAAGAACCACTAGCCTGAGGCCTACATGAAGATGTACATGGCGTTCTCTTGGCAAGAATATGGAAGTGATTTTTTATTGCCTGATGCTGGATGTCCTTTTGATTTTCTAGCTTGGCATACAGCTAGTCTTCCAACTTACTATTAACCAAGAAGAACCCTACTTACCTTTTCCTTGATCAGCCAAGGTCAACTAGGTGCACTGTCTACTGAGATGGAAAACATAAATAAGAAACTTTAAAACAGGTGGGAAAATTATAGTTGTGTACTGTAGATGATACTTGCTACAGTTTCCAACAATCAGACCCTACAAAGCCAATGAGGAAGATTACTAGCAGCAGTATGGGTGGGGAAATGTCAGGGTACTCTAAACCAATATCATCTGTCCTAGTGAGCACCAGATATGCATGCTACATTTCTTGCTCTTTCCCACCATAGAAATTGGTCTTCAGATTTAACAAAAAAATAGGCTTGTCAATTGTGCAAATGCAGAAAAGGGAAAATATATGCTTAGGAAACTACAATGACTCAATTCATTGAGTCATTCGTTCATTCATTCATTCAATCGATCAATCAATTAATCAATCAATTTATCAATTTCTATAGCTACCCATCTCTGTCAATGACTTACAATTAAATTAAAAATACTAAAAACATTTTAAAACAATAAAAACTCTAAAAACCTCCAGATTAAATATACATACTTGGCCGGTTGTACTTATAGGACATAAGACAGATCTTTCTTGGTGGCTCCTCCCAGACTTAAGAAGTTATCAAAGAAGAGGTCATCAATTTCTTGTGAAGCCCAAAATCTTCTTTATTTAGGGTGAGCTTTTAATTTCCCCGAGTCCCATCTGTTTTAATGTCCTATTTGTTATCAATAGAATTTTATATTTTAGATATATTTTAGTTAATTAACATTTTTGTTATTTTTTTGGTAGATTAAAAAATCCATTTTATATGTCTATGGCCAGACAATCTATTCTCCACACTACACCACTTAACCACATTGTAAAATTTGGGAGTCCTATAAACTTTGATTTGACACCATGTAGCTTAAGACTAGGGAAATGATGGTTCCAGGTGTTGTTTAACCACAAATCCCAACTTCTCTCACCATTGTAGTTGAGGCTACTGGGAGTTGAAATTAAGCAACATTTAAGCACAGATTTTCCATCTTTCATGTAGCCAAATATGTTAAATGAAAGTAATTTTGAATATAGTAGGGATCAAAAGTGGTGTTTGCTCAGTTTTCTGACCTCTGTTCCAAAATTGCCTTAAGTACTGTGCATCCTGTGGGCGGAGGCACCACTTGCTTTGCCTCAGACAACAAAATGTTCTCAGGCAGGCCTGTATAGAAATTATACAAAATGCCTTTAAAGTACAAAGGAAGTGTAAAAATGAATAATCATCATTTTTTGCTTCCTTATTGGTTTACGGGCAAGACTCCTATCTATGAAGACAGAACAGTTGTGAACTTCAGTGTTTATTCTGTGCTATAAAGCAACATCTGGCAGAATAAAAATCTTAGTATGTTCATACTAAAATGTGTTCTCTAGAGGAATTGCTGTTATATGCACAAACACAAAATGTATAAATCACATGAGTAACACAAAAGATTCTGAAACAATGTTTTTATTTTCAAAACTCAAGTATGTGATGCTATACAGTACAATACTAGCACACCTGTGCAAAATCTTACAAGATTTAAACAAAAATTAGTGATTCTTGAATTCCTCCTACTTTAAATACCAGTGCTGTGCACAAGAAACAAATGTGTCTTATTAAAGCCAAATAAATAAATATTGCACTTCAGGAAAAAAAACAAAATCAACCAACCAGACCCTTTAATAGCACTTATTTGGTGCAAATGGAATAAGATGATCTAGTCAATTAAGTGTATAAATCCTGTACATTTGAAAATATAAAAATGTCTATGTTCTGATGTTGTAATGAAACAAAGGCCCTGGTTTTTAAAAATTATTTTTCACAAAAGAGAGTCATTGATTTGTTTCTCAACCTGCCAATAACCCCCAATGAACTAATTTTATGCATTATAATTATAGGCGGCTTCAAATCCTATTAATGAAAAAGTAATGGTCTGGAGACAGCTGAAGAAAAACTGTTTATCTCAGTACTTTGCTTTGTAAAGACAGTCATTCACCTTTCATATAATAGTCTACTCTCAAGGATGGATCAGTTGTTCTAACATTGAGTTTTTTATTTGTCCATTAATTCTTAATCTGAGTAAACATGCTTAACCTTTTGTGTGTAAAGCATTTCATGACCTTTTTTCTTACACTAGAATGAAAACTGTATTGTGGGTATGTCTTATTAATGAAGTTACTTAATTCAAAAGACAGCAGTTTGTTTGATTCCTTAGCCTCTTTCACTCACTCTTCCAGGTTGACAGCAAATAATACACATTCTCACCAGCCTTACTGAACATGCTTAATACTATTATTTTATTTACCTATGGCCATCTAGAGATTGATCCATGCTAAAATTTTACACCAAGTTGTGTTGAACATCAGTGGTAGCACTTCATTTATTGACCTCTAGGTATTCAAAACACTTAACATAAAACGTGCAAATTATGTTTGGGAGAAGCTTCTACTTCAAACAATTTCATACCTATTTCCTGCTTATTATATTGAAAGACAGCTTACCAGTAATCTAGAGCAAAATTTCACCCTGGGCTCTGCCTTTTAGTACTTCTCAAGGTGAAGAACAGAGTGGCAGATTTTGTTTTTACCATGCTTTACTTTATGAGATACTTCAGCCTGAATGCTGCAGGAATACTCTGACAACATTATGAGTGACAGGACCAAACATTTTATGCTCAATCGTTTGTTTGTTTGTTTTTTAAATTTGGGAAACGTGAAGATCCAAATAAGTACTTTTAAGCCTTAAAGAGGTTTGTCATACCCATGTAGCAGCTATAGGGACAAAACAAAGCCCTCCCCCCCCTCAAATGCTGTTAGAACTTGTCTGTTTTTTCATTCTGGATTGGTGGCACTTTCTAGGGCATTCTGGGAACTGCAAGCTGCTTACTAGCCTTGGAACACAAGCCACTCAGGCTGAGGTAAGACAGAACCTGGTCACCCACATACACACTTCAGGGAAACTTTCATATCCTGAATATTTTTGTCAAATAGCCCCCTTTAAACACCAAATAATGCAAGTAAATTTTGGAGAAGGGTTAAGGCAGTGTGATCTCAGCATGCATCATGCTTTTGCCAAGAAATAATTTTACAAATTAGTAAAAAAATATTTGCAGGGGCTGTTTGCATTACAGTGGCTGAAATGAACCAGACAGGAATGCTTGAACTGCACCATTCTTTCTTTCTGATCTTAAGCATTTCTATTTGGAAGCAAGTCCTGTTACTCAGTTGACTTATTTATGCGAGCTTATGCTTGCAGTTTGATTGTTCCTAACTTTGAATTGTGTCAGGAAATCTATTTATACTGCAGGAACAAAAATCCTCTCTTTTGATTCCAAGGAGCATCTCCTGCCAACCTACCAAAAAGCTGTCTTTTGTTCCAGACATTTAGATTTAATTGTATATGTTAATGTTCACTACAGCAGAGATCCCCAACCTTTTGGACACCAGGGACCAGCGCTGTGGAGAAAGGTTTTTCCG